TAAATAGTAATATAAAAGTAATATAAATAATTTTGATTTCTAATTTTTTATTTATATTTTCCTTCCATTACACTGCATGCTTAAAAAATTAATAAATATTTATATTTCATGATTTTAAAATTTGTTGTTAATATAACAAATTAGTTATGTAATTATTATTATTTAATAAACCAACGTTGCCAAAAATCATGATTTTTTAAAAAAAATCAAAAAAATCACTTGATTTAAATCATGATTTAAATCATTTGATTTAAATCATGCCAACCCTGGTTTTAAATAGGATTTGATATAAATAATTTTGACTTCTAATTTGTTGTTTATATTTTGCTACTACTTAATCAAATAGTTTTCGACGAATGTTTTCTTACTAGCTATCGAATTATTCGAATGAATTGCAACTATCGAAATGTTTCGATAGTATTCATTTGATAGTTCCCACTACTAATAAATATCAATTTTAGGTTTGAAAATTGCTTATCAAAGCATAACGTTTAATATAGATAGCCATATTCACTTGTTTATTATAAATTACATAATATTCCATTTCAAATAGTTACAAAAAGACCTTGTCTAGTTTTGACGCACCTTGTATTATATTACACCTATGATGCTATACTACAGCATGTGTAGTATAGCATTTTAGTAATTTAATTGTAAAAAGAGTGTTGTTATAGAATATTTCCTATTAAAATATCAATGGTGCTATGTTCAGAGAACACAGTAGCTAACTCGCGCTTTCACAGGTGTTATACTATACCGAGTGCGCCTCAAAAGTGGCTCACCCCTATAACTTTTTTATTTTTACAGATTAAAAAATACGAGATTTGGTATGTTAGTATATGACATTAATTAGGACTGACTGACTAGAATTGAATTATTTTTGGCCAGTTCCTGCTTCACCGGAAATGACTACAACTTTTGATTTTTAAATGGCACCCTAGGTATATTTCTACTTTATTCAATAGAAAATGACACTCTGAATAGAATAATATATCATATGTCAAGTTTTGATATTGATATTTAGCTGAAACTATAGGGGTGAGCCACTTTCGAGACACAGTCGGTATACCGTATGATCCAAAAAATAAGGCGTCAGCGATTGCTATGAAATGATTACAATGAAATGAAGATTGCTGTCATTTTATATGTAAATTTATATGGGAAATGTCACTGAGCATCATTTTCCAGCCAACTGGACGCCGTTTTTTTTCGATCAGACGTATTATTTTTTAAAAAAATATTATAATAGCTGATTATATTTTTAATGGAAAACGAAGGTACCTAATGAGAAAAAATAAAGTTATTCCACATACAGTTGACTACAGATAAGGATATAAACATAATAAAGTCATGTCATCCCATCTCACGAAAAAAAATTGGCGCCGAAAAGTTGGTAGGCAGTTCTTTTAGTTTCAAAGTAAAGGAATTTTTCCAATTTTGGTCCGCGGTTATTTCCCCTATCCGCCACCTGGGGTCGCGTCCGATGGGAGTTTCGAGTTCTCCACATGGATTTACTCAAAAACGGACTACGGAAACACGGAATATCTCAAAAACTGAGACTTTGACTGATTTTGATGTTATCACAAATTTTGTTGCAATTATTGTTCCTAATCTTAAATTGAAAACCGCGTTTCGCTAGCTACTGTAATTTTGGAGTTACGATTTTTTAAAATTTTTAACCCCCCCTTATACCCCCTTACCAACCCCCCACCCTCCCAAAAACTAATGGTCAGATTCTCGGGTGCCACAGTATTTTTGTGCCAAATTTGGTTAAAATCGGTTTAACGATTTTTGAGTTATCGTGTTACAGACGGACAGACAGACAGACACCATGAAAATATTTTGTATTTAGGTCATTTATCACCCAAATAACTCATTTTGAGTGAAATTAAATTTTTTTTTTCCCGATCTTAATAGCCTACCATACCTGTTGGTATGGTCGGCTAAAAAAAATGTGATCATTGGACTAGCTGAGAAATTTATTTTTCCAATCCGGAGTTTAGAAAAAAGCCTATCAAAAAAGCAAAAAAATTCTTAAAACTAAATAGCTACATATATCAATTAATAAATATAATTTAAAAAAATCGAATTAACCGTTTATATAACTCATCTAAAATCTAAAAACAATAAACCTGATAACCAAAAAATTTGCCCTTTATAAAAGGCTTATTACTAAATTTAAAAAACATATTTGGACAATTATAATATTAATGTTTGACATAAGGTAAAGGTGTGTAGTTCGTGAACGAACTAGTTCCAATGAACTATTCCGACCCCGGAATGAAAGGAACTAGTTCCTGGTTTCTCAAAGGTGTCCGATATAGAATAATATGCGACGGCGACGGATCGACTAGCGCGCGTAGCCCGATGGTAGGCAGGAGTGGGGAGTGCGAGACGTACGTTATCGGATCCGGACCTAGAGGAACTAAACTAAATAAAAGACTAGTTTACGTACGAACGGATCGGGCCAGCGCGACGTATGCTAGGCAGGAGTGCGGAGTGGCAGCCGTATGCCGTATGTTATCGGATCCGGACCTAAAGGAACTAAATAAAAGACTAGTTTACGTATGGATCAGCCAGCGCGATTGATGCTAGGCAGGCGTCGGGAGTGCCAGCCGTATGTTATCGAATCCGCACATAGAGGAACTATTAAAAGACTAGTTCACGGGAATCTATTCAGTCGGCAGATCCGAGAAATAATACAAGGCGACGACGATGGATTCGGCCTTGTCTATTGCCACAGCCGGCGCGGCGTAATTACCACAGAAAATTGTCGTGGATACTGTTTTTGATTTTTAGTTTGTTTTTTAAATATTTTATGGAAATGTTTCTCTTAGGTCCCTAAAATTAAGAAATATCTTATAAAACGAAGTAGATATTCTGAATTTTTAGACAAAAACAAAAAGCTTGACGTGAGGAAAAATGCAATTTTTCGTAAAATTTTTGTAATATTTGCTCCATGATTTGTGATATAGTTTTTGAGTTTTTTTTTATTTTTTTTATCTGCTATAAAACTTCCCTATATGTTTTTAACATACACAATTACACGTCTCGTTATATCTCCGTACATTATAAAAATTATACAGATCATACTGTGAATAGTTCTGACTGACAACGAAACGCATTAGCAAGCACGGGGGATGTCAATGTTAGTCGGGAACTATTGTGAACTAAAGACCTAGTTCAAGGAACTATTCCTCTGGAGGAACTAGAACTAAGGAACTAGTTTCTCCCAAGGAACTAGAATTCCCACCTCTAACACAAGGCACATAATTCGATAACAAAAAAATTCAGTAGTTTAAAAATGAAAACGCCAAAAAATTTAGTTTAAACATAGACATACTCGAAAAGCTGCAGGGAACAGGAAATCAATTATAACAGTATTTTTGGAATATGTTTTTTATGACAAACCCACTGCACAAAAATGCACAGCGTTCCATTTAGAAATATGTTTAAGGAAAAAAGTAAATTAAGTAATTAATTTACATAAAAATAAAAAATCATAATTAAAAAAATAAAACTAAAAACTTAATATTGATTTTTTTAGTAAGTTAATTTAGTACAGGCAAGTAGTAAAATTAAGTTACCTTTATCTGCCTTAACTTCCTCCTTGGGCTTTTCCTCGCTTTCCTTGTTCTCCGTTTTGTCCAGTCGCGGCCGTTTCCTGCCCTTGTAGCTCCTGTTGTCCCTCCGGCCGCCCTCTCCCTCGTCCTCGCTGTCGGAAAACTCGTTGTCCGGCACTATCCTCTTGTCCAGATCCTTTTGCGGCAGCCTTTCGTCCTTATCCACCTTGTCCTCGTTATCGCTTTCCTCGTTGATCGCGTCCTCGGGAATGGCTTGCACCTGGACACCCGGAGCGTGCGGCAACATGCGCAGGTTTTCGAACAGTCGCGTCTTGATCTTTTCCAAGTATTCGGGAGTGTTCTGATTGGCCATGTTGCTGGGGCTGATGTGGAGCTTGAAGTCGGGGCCGAAGTACTCGAAATAGTCGTTGTAGGGCAGCTCGTTGGCGATCTCTACGCCCAAAGCGACGGACGTCTCGTACGTCCACGCTCTGGAAACGTTTCGGATGGTGTAGCCTCCGCCGCCGACCATCATGAATGGGAGGTTGTACTTCTTTACGAATTCCACGCATTTTCCGTGGCCTTTCACCGTTAGATTGAAACAACCCAGTCTGTCTCCAGTTAGAGAGTCAGCGCCGCATTGTAGTACCTGTAAAAAGAAAAATTTTAATGACAGGCAATTTTTTCCTTAAAGCCAAATCAAATTACCACTGCACTGGGCTGGAAAGTTTCCATAACCTTGCTGATAATAGGTACAAAAATACTCTCGTATGCTTCGTCGTCCATTCCATCTCTTAAAGGAATATTGACAGCATAGTATTTACCTTTACCAGCTCCAATATCCCTTAAATCACCAGTCCCTGAAAAAAAAACAATTTAAAATTTAACTGAATTAAAATCTTAATCATTTAGTATAATAAATGTCGCAAAATATTCTAAAGTGATGACTCCTTGAAATATACCTGGAAAATATTCTCCATATTTGTGGAAGGATACCGTCATGACCCTATCAGTTGTGTAGAAAGCTTCTTCAACTCCGTCTCCATGATGAACATCAATGTCAATATACAGTACTCTCTGATGATACTTTAACAACTCGAGAATACCAAGTACAATGTCATTAACATAACAAAAGCCTGAAGCTTCTGACTTTTTGGCATGATGCAGACCTCCTCCCCAATTTATACATATCTCTGAAGCTTGCTTATTTAGTTTAACAGCAGCAGCTACCGAACCTAAACAAATAATTGTTAATTTATATTATTTGAGAAAAAGCAACCAAGTTTACCTCCAGCAGATAACTGACAGAATTCATAAAGTCCATCAAATACTGGGCAGTCCTCGCCAACGTTAAACCTTTGCATCTGTTTGTTATATTCAGCCATGTTATCAGGTCTGATTGATCTCAGAAAACGAATATAGTCATCTGAATGAAATTTGGTCATTTCTTCAGCTGTTGCTTTATGCGGTCTCTACATTAAAATCATAAGATATTAAAAAATAGATTAATATTTTTAAATAAATTATTTACATAAATTTCCATTTTCCTATAAAGCCCATAATTTAGCAATAAATTATGCGTCATCCTTATCCTATGAGGCTTCATCGGATGTCCCTGACCATAGTAGTAATTACCAATATCACCTACAAAATTAAAATAATGAAAATTATAAAAATATATATTTTTCATAGAAGTATCTTTACGATTTTCTTTAAATAAGAAAAGTACGGCGGACTGTCAATTAAGAGACGGTCGACCGTACTTCGTAGCATCATCCTTTCCTAACATATCGACCCAGCCAATCAGATTCCGAGAAAAATACGGTTGACTGCTAGTCGACCATGATGCTCTTGCTTTAAATTTTCGAAAATCGTCAAAGCTATGTGTATCAAACCAAGCAAAGAAAACTAAATTAAATTTACGGTTTCGATATTAGAATCTTTAAAAGAAATTTACTAAACAACAAAATAGCTTCATAACATCTATTTCTATTGAAAATTATCTACAAACCAAAGAATTATAACAAATTAAATTCACTTACTGTCGTAATAATAACACACTCTCTTCCGACTATGAGGTTGAGTAGCCATTATTAGTCCAAAATTTACAACAAATCACTAAGAATACTTTTTATTTATTAAAAACTTATTTATAGAAACAAACTTGCTGAATATTCATCCGACCCCGCGCAGTTAAAGACGTTTGTTTCTTGCAAATGGAGGATTTTTACTTTGACATTAATGACAATTCATTTGACATATCAAGTATCATCGCAACAGGGAGGGGGAAATAATCTTTATCGATAATTATTAGGGATGGGTAAGGTTTAAGATCGATTTGCATATGTAAGACGTCCATCATTTATATATGATCAATGTTTAATATTTATTATATAATCTATGGTCAGTGGTCAGTTTGATTTGACAGAAATGTGAAATTTGATCTGAATTTGATCAGAGAGAGAAACAACCGATTTGATATTTGATTTGATTGGTTTCAGCTGGTTTTAGAAGGGTTTCAGAGTTGGCAGTTGTTGGTTTGTTATTTTGGTTTTGATTTTTGATATAGTAATAGCACGGGTAATAGTAATTTGCCGGAATTTGCTCAAAGGGATTGCCTCTTAGGATTGCCTAGTTCATAGATAATAGATACCCTCGGTATTTTTTTGAATTTCAGCGATATTTAGTGATATACAAAAATTGTTTTTTGTATCATTGTATAAATAGATGGATGTATCAGCCATCAGCCATTAACTGCAGTAATATCTCTTTGCGTGGAGACTGTGAAGGTATGTCTTTAGGTATCTCGTATTTATATGTTTCTAGATTTAATTTATCTCATTTACTAGAGAAGAAATGGATGGTATTAATGATAAACAGGAAGAAAAATGCAAGCCATACAAATGCACGGAACCAAACTGTAATGCAGCTTTTATGAGACCAAGTAGATTACACAATCATCAACTTACTCATTTGGCTATACGACCCTATGCATGTGATTATCCTAATTGCAACAAGAGCTACACGAGTCAGTCACATTTAAAAAGACATGAAATTATAAGTCACTTAAGCCCACAGCCACCACCCATAACAGAAGTTGCTTGTACTGTAGAGGGCTGTCGAAAATATCTTGCTAATAAAGATTCATTAAAGAAGCATATTAGAGTAGTTCATAGTGATAAGAGGCTCCAGTTTGTATGTACAGATTGTCCCAAAAGATTTAAAACAATAACCCAGTTACATTTTCATATGATAGGACATGGAAAGGATGTCCCATATAAGTGTGACAAATGTGATATTAGATTTATTGAGTATCATTTATTTCTCAGGCATAAAAGAAATCATAAAGTTTATGTGTGCGATTGTGAGAAATCCTTTGATCGCTTTGCCCTTTATCGTAAGCACAAGACATTAGACTGTGAGCTAAAATCAAATGTCGAACATAAATGTACTGTTTGTGATAAAAGATTCATTCAGAAGCAGCATTTAACTCAACACACTTTAATGGTTCATGCGGATGATTCTGAAATTGAAACTTTTAAATGTTCATACTTGAATTGTAATAAAGAATACAAATATAAAAAGAACCTTATGGTTCATACTAAAACTTTTCATGAGAAAATTTTTAATAGGGTACAGTGTCAAGAGTGTGGAAAAGTGCTTAAATCCAATAAAAATTTAAAACAGCATTTGAGAATATGTGGTTTGCCACCTAAAGAGAAGAGGCTACATAAACCGAGAAAAGATAAAGGTATACCAAGGAAAAGCATAGCGTCCGAGTTGAGTGGTCTTAATGTTATTGATAAACATTTATTAAATATTGAGAATTGCATGGAAAATGAATTGCTAGAAACACAGCAAGATATTGAATCTACTGAGGAATCTACTACTGAAGAAAATTCAATTGAAAATTGATGTAACTTTTTTTTAATATTATTTACAATATTAAGTGTAATATTATAATTCTATATTTAGTAAGAGTAAGGGTAATTCGTTTGTACATTATATAATTTTTTAAATGTGTTATAATATTAAATAAAATTTTCTTCTTTTTTTTTCTTTAATTTTCAGTGTTTTCTTCCCTGTAAATAAAAGCATGTAATATTATACAGGGTGTTTCAAAAAAGATGTGCCATCTCTCGTGGGGAGATTCCTCATGTAAAAATAAGATTTATTTTTGATATCGACATAGATCCGATTCTGCTTTGTTTCGTAGATACAGGGTGTTAACAGTCTTAGTAATTTCGAATAAAATTTTCGCATTTATAGTAATCAAATACGTTTAAATAACTTTATTTTAAACGTATTTGATAGTAATAAATGCGACATATTTTAAAGCTAAAAAAGTGTTGACATATTCACCAAGGACGTGCATATGTATATTGCTTATCACTGGAATATTTTTCTAAAAAAAGCATGTACGCTACTGACTTTTTCTCTTGTTAGCGAAATAGTATAAGCAGTTTAATGCCGATTAAAGTTGTCTCTTGATATTTTGTCGATTTCGCCCTCCTTGATGAGATAAACGCAATTTTATTAATTTGCCTTGATCCAATTCTGATAACATTTAAAAAAAATTAGTACCATTAACTTGCAAAAGTTTTAAATAAGTACTCATTGATTCCTCATCAAAAAATATGAAAAAAAGTTCTTATAAACATGGGTTTGGAAATGCATAGTATTAGAGTTACAGGACACAGGATGTTAAAACTTTTTAAAATTAGATTTTTTTTGTAATTATCTGAAATACCATATACAGGGTGGTCCGAACTGGGTAAAGGTGTGGATCCGGTGGCTGACCTTGAAGCCCATATTTGCTGCATTTGATCATCGATACTACGCAAGCGCACATGGTCGATGTTGCCAAATTGCAGTTTATTTTCGAATTATTTGCAGTTGAAAATTTTTTTTTGAGTGTTAATCAATTATAATACAAATTCTATAATTAATTTTAGAATTTCAGATTTATCTTGATATCCAGAATTAAGGTAAGAAAGATAATGAAGATTGTGAAATGAAAGTATTATGAATATATAAAATTGTAATAATAATAACATTTATTTATATATTTACATTAGAATTAAAAATTATCATGTACGGATTTTTTTCTTAATGGTTTTAAACTTATTAGAATTATTTTAATTCTTTCAAGTTATTTAATTTCTAGTTATTTACAGGCAACAATAGTTTTGATTATATGTATTGATGTTTTGAAATACCGTATGATCGAATAAAAACGGCGTCAACGATGGCTATGAAATGAAGATCGCTGTCATTTTATATGTAAAATTATATGGGAAATGTCATCGATCGTCATTTCCAAGCCAACTGGACGCCGTTTTTTTTCGATCATACGGTACTACCATGACGAGTCTTATAGAACAATACACGTCAATGGGAGATAGAGGTAACATCTTACCTATAATGTTACTAATATAATATACTTTGATTATAATGTTTGTATCATAATTTCTTAAAAATATCAAGTTAGTGGATTAATAGCCAATTTTAGACATATATTTTATCGAAGAGTGTGTTGATAAGACTAAAATAAGCTTTGTTTTATCTTTTTCTCTTTAGAAGGGAGATAGTTTGTGCCGTAGAATACATTACAGTATTTAATATCGTGTACTTTGATATTCTTTTCTTAATTTACTGTAATTTCTTGTTTGCTATAATGCCAAATCTTGACAATATGGTGAAGGTTGAGTTTTGATCTTATTAGTTTTATACCTGTGTTTATACAAGACCAAATTAAGATTAGTTTGTAATTAGTTTGTGATTTATATTAAAATCTTTCTTATAATATTTGTTATGTCTTAATCTTAATACTATATTATGCTTTGTCTGGAAAATAAATGTTAAAATATCTTAATTTTGCATATCCTATTCCATCCTTCCATTAGGAAAAATATGGTCTATAAATCATATTATGCTAAGAAATTCATATAAATTAGGTGTAAGAATAGAGAAATCTTAAGGTAGCAGAAAAAATAATGCAATATATGTATAAGCAGAATTAAACGAGGTAACTGTAAATGTTGCTGAAGCTGATTCTACAATTTTAATTACGGAGGCTAAAATGCCTTTTAAGGCCTCCGTAGTTTTGATGGAATGTTCATGACATGACATGGAGCTACAGCATTTAAACGTTAAAAAAAAGAAAAAACTTGGACACATCCCTTTTAATTTCCCGAAAAATATCAAGTTAGTGGATTAATAGCAATCTTAAACATATATTTTATTGAAGAGTGTGTTGATAAGACTAAAATAAGCTTTATGTTTTATTTTTTTCTCTTTAGAAGGGAGATGGTGAGTGTCGTAGAATACATTTCAGTATTTAATATCGTGTACTTTGATATTTTTTTCTTAATTTACTGTAATTTCTTGGTTCCTATAATGCCAAATCTTGACAATATGGTGAAGGTTGAGTTTTGATCTTATTAGTTTTATACCTGTGTTTATACAAGACCAAATTAAAATTAGTTTGTAATTAATTTGTGATTTATATTAAGATCTTTCTTATAATATTTGTTATGTCTTAAACTTAATACTAATATTATGCTTTGTCTGGAAAATATATCTTAATTTTGTATATCCTATTCCATCCTTCCATTAGGAAAAATATGGTTTAGAAATCATATTATGCTAAGAAAATCACATAAATTAGGTGTAAGAATAGAGAAATCTTAAGGTAGCAGAAAAATTAATGCAATATATGTATAAGCAGAATTAAACAAGGTAACTGTAAATGTTGCTGAAGCTGATGATTCTACAATTTTAATTACGGAGGCTAAAAGGCCTTTTAAGGCCTCCGTAGTTTTGATGGAATGTTAAAAAAAACTATTATGAACATGACATGGAGCTACAGCATTTAAAAATTAAAAAAAAAAAGAAAAAACTTGGACACATCCCTTTTAATTTCCCGAATTTTTAATAAAGCACTTTTTAAACGTAGCATTATAATCTAGAGCAATTAGATTAATTATAGGAATCTAGAATTTTATTTCTATTTAATTTTATTGACTATGAAAATACATAATAAGCATTCACGTTTCACGTGTTGTGCGAAATATTAAAATAATAATAGAAATATATACCGCGTACTATGATTGAAAAAAATAGCGTCAGCGATGACTATGAAATGAAGATCGCAGTCATTTTATATGGGAAATGTCCTCAATCGTCATTTCCTAGCCAACTAGACGCTGTTTTTTCGATCATACTGTATATATTGACAAAACACACTGAAAAGCACATATTTGTTTTCTACTGAAAATAATTCCAAAATAACTTGCAATCTGGCAACATCGAAGATGTGCGCCTGCGTAGTGTCTGTGACTATATACAGCAAAAACTCATTTCAAGGTCAGCCACCGGATCCACACCATTACCCCGAACTGTATTCCGGAAACTTCGGCAGCATATTCTGCAGATAAAAATAAGTAAAAAAGTTCGTATAAATAAATGTATGTCCTAAAATGCTTAAAGTTTCGGAGATACAGGATATAGAAGTTTCATCTTGATTTCGATTTTTTCCAAATAATTTCTGAAGTAACGTCAATATGTGGATGAAAATTAGTGTCTAAGAGTTTTTTGACATGAGAAATTTGATTTTGACGTCAATATGACTCCTACTTGTGAGGGCGCCCCCTACATATTTTTAACTGATTTGAAGAGTAATAACTTTTCGTTCGTACCTGTATAAAACTACTTAGTAGAAAAATATAAATGTACGATGTTTTTTACGTAAAAAAGTATCTTGGAAAAAATCGCTACGAGGAATGGTTCTCGAGATATTTGGAATCGAAATTATCAATACCTGTCATGATTGACATAAATTGAACATGTTGACTAAATAGTTATTAGACTGAAATCATAAATTTGAAATGTGTTTGTTCCAAAAGTTCAACAGAACTTGTTTTGTCATTTTTTTTTCGCCGAAAAATTTATGATTAATTTTAAAAAAATAGAAAAAAAGAAAAAAGTTCTCAAATTTATCTACCTACTCAATAATCAAATAACTACCTACTCAACATGTTTATTTTTTGTCAATAATGACATGTATTGACTGTTTCCAATCTAAATATCTTGAGAATGGTTGCTCGTAGCGATTTTTTCCAAGAGACTTTTTTTACGTAGAAAATCATGGAAATGTATATTTTTTCACTCAGTAGTTTTATACAGGTACGGACGAAAAGTTATTACTCTTCAAAACAGTTAAAACACATGTAGGTGGCGCTCTCTACAAATAGGAGTCATATTAACATCAAAATCAAATTTCTCATGTCAAAAAACTCCCAGACACCAATTTTCATCCAAATATTTACGTTACTTCAGAAATTATTTGGAAAAACTCGAAATAAAAATTAAATTTTCTACGCCCTGTATCCCCAAAACTAAGCTTTTAGGACATACATTTATACGAACTTTTTTACTTATTTTTTTCTGCAAAATGTGCTGCCGAAGTTTCCGGAATACAGTGCGAACCACCCTGTATAATTAATAAATAAACAATTTATTATATAATTTTATCAACTGCGATTAATAAAATTACGTTTATCTCATCAAGGAGGCCGAATTCGACAAAATATCAAGAGATAAGTTTTAATTGGCATTAAACGGCCTACATAATTTTGATATCAAAAGAAGAAAGTCGGTAGCGCAAATGTTTTTTTTTGAAACATTCTAGTTATAACCCATATGCACTTTTTTATCATTAAAATATGTAGCACTTATGGTAATTTTTACCCTTAAAATTTCATTCGAGTCACTAAAAGTACTTGGGACAAAATTCTAATAAATCGAAAGATATTAATACTGTATAACACCCTGTAGCTACAAAACAAAGCAGAATCGGACCTATATATATTGATATGAAAAATAAATCTTATTTTTACATGAAGGAATCTCCCCACTAGAGATGGCACATGTTTTTTGAAACACCCTGTATCTTGATGAAATTCATTGAATTCATTACTGAATTTTTACTATTAATAATCATTTTCTGGAAAATAAATTAAGATACAGTAGGTAGCTTAGAAACTTTTTATAAGCGTCTGATATGTGCTATTATAAATATGTAAAAAGCCAGTCGGCTCCTGATTAACGTTTTCGTAACTTCTTTTAGGTCAACAAAATAAATTTTAATTTACCTAAATAAATTTCTCCTTAGGTTTGGTTTGGTTTGAGTGATTTTTTATTTGCCAAAGTAATATCACAGGCAATATCTAAAAGTCATACATTTTCTAGCCAGGAAAACGGGAAATAAAATATCTTGAAAACGAAGACAAATATTTTATTGAAATAAGATGCGTAAGAAATTAAAAACGATTCTTGAAAATAATAAGTTATTCGGTACTTATATAATTATAGAGGGTATAATATAGATAATTAGCAAATTATTTCGAATTATACAGGGTGTCCCAGAAATAAGTGCAAGTATTTTAACTGGCAGTATAGTTTAACCGCAGAAACACGCCTATGAGGTTTTTTTTGCGAATTTTTTTTTTTAAAATTCGAAATTTTTTGAAAATTTTTTGGAGATTTTTTAGTTTTTAGTTAAAAAACATAATTTCTTGATAGTATGGCAACATAGGTATTAGCATAGTATAAGAAAACTAGTAGCTTTACTCCTTGTCAAATCCTTTGTTCTTTTTCTGCCACTTTATATGACCTTGTTCTCGCCTCCCGTGACCACTGACGTAGCTGTATAGTCGTGGTCTATTAACTAGGCAAAGGATAGACGTGGCACTCGCCATAGTTTCACAGATATGTATTTAGGAAAATATGAGTTCACAATAAAATAAAATAAAAAAAATGATCATCGAGTAAAAACTTGCTTGAAAACAGAATATTTTCACATTTCGTGTAGGTAACAATTATTCTGTATCTGAAAATCTTCTGATGGGAAGAAATGCGGAAAAAATATATAATGACATATTTTTATATTATTATCTATTTCAGAGATTTTCTACGACTTTTTTTTTATTTAAAGCAAGTTTAATTCTCTGTAAATAACTGGATTCGGCATAAAATTATGCTATAGTACACTGTCTTTATTTAAAGCACACTGCGGTGTTGCTAATCTATTTCTTATTTACTAAAACTTTGGTTAAAAACATTATATACGAAAAGTGGTAAAAAACTAGAGTGAACTTTATTAATACTTAGCTATGTTTTCTTAAACATGAAGCATACCAGAATAAATTCGTGTAGAAAAATTTACTTTACCGTATACAGGGTATTTTTATGGCGTCACCAAAATCGTAATATTTAAAATGTTGTATCTCATTCTTTTTAAATGCAACACCTTGTATATTATTTTTCTTTCAGACGTAGAATTAAAAGGTGAACATTTTTTGTATTTAAAATGTTTTTAAATTTTTGGCCGTTTTGCAAATATTTTCTGTATTTCATTACATATGGGATTTTCAACGATAAAATATCAGACAAAGATCGTATTACGTGGCTTTGATAAAAATTTACTGTTGAAAGAGCCATATATAATATAATACTGCGAATATCTGCGAAACCGTTAAAAATTTAGAAACACTTTAAATAAAAAAATGTTCACTTTTAATTTTGCATCTGACAGAAAAATAATATACAGAATGTTGCATTTAAAAAAATTGAGATATACCATTTTAAATATTCCGATTTTGGTGACGCCATAAAAAATACCCTATATAGAATAATGTAAATTTTTCTACGCGGATTTGTTATCCTTGTTTAGGAAAATAGCCTCTAACACTTTTGGCTATAATAAAGCCAAGTGTTAATAAAGTTATATTCACTCTAGTTTTTTATAACTTTTCGGATATAATGTTTTTAACCAAAGTAAATAAGTCATAGAATGACAATACTGTAGAAAGATTCAAATAAAGATAGTGTACTATATGCAGAATTTTAAGCCGAATCCGATTATCTACAGAAAAATGGAGGGGGGGTGCAGTTAGTTAGGCAGTTTAAAAAAAATAAAACTAATTTTACCATAACTTTTTTGTGTGACACCCTGGATATAACAAAATATTTTAGGATACGCCCCTTTATAAACCTTGAAACATATGAATAAAACTTTTTTCACACCTTCGACAACGACGACGATATTGGACTTCCTCGCACTAATGGGCCACACTGTATATTTTATGGTGGTTTAAAGCTAGAGGTGTGGCACTTTTCTTCCCTCAAATATAAACTCAATATTTTGTCTATAATATTTTGAATATCGTTATATTACGACCACTTATAATAAAAAATAAATAAAATATAAAAAACATAAAAAAATCCAGTCCACTAAATTTATAATAGCTTATGCTATTATAAAATTCTTTCAATTAAAACATATGAATAATTTGCGGAGACTTTAGATGTACAAAATATTTACTCTAAAATTGTTGCAAAAACCAATCTATATAAATTATCTCGTAAATTATTATTGGAATGAAAATTTTATGGCAAATCCCCTGACCAAAAAATATTTTCATGCGCATATTTCAGACAACCTGTATATCTAAAAAACTATTTTTAAAATATAACCACATGCTAAAAAAAATAATAACATTTAATTAATTTTACATAATATCTCAGCTAAATATAATTAAATGTTTATTGATAATCATATGCCGATATCAGCTTGCCGATTTATATCCGATGGAAATCTAAAAAAACTCAAAGCATAACTACAATTAATAGCAGCACAGAGAAGGCACTCATTTTTTTGTCAATACGTCTCTGTGCTGGGACTCAAACGCTCGAACGTGACTTGACCCTCGCAGCTCGACGGACGGAATTTAGTGTGTTCTGTGTTCTGTGGACGGAATTCAACTGAAACGCTTTGCAATCTGCCGATATTCGACAGATTGCAAAAACTGGCAGAACATATTTGCGAGAGTGCAACTACTCTTTTCCTTAAACTATGGTATTAGATTAAATTTACAAGAAAGAAAATCCAGAAAAGATCCAGTGGTTCTCAAAATTTTAGCAAAAAATAATCATTTTTTTTGGAAACGTTCAAAGTAAAATAACTCGTTATTTTGGACTTATTTGAAAAACGATAAAGAGAAAATATGTTTCGTTTATCGAGATCTACCACCCCTTAAAATATTTGCACTTATTTCTGGGACACCCTGTATAGTTATTTCGAAGAGTTCACACATTTTTTAGTTTGAAATATTGATTATTTCAAATTAAAAAAACTTAAAAAAGTAGATACGAGTAAAAATTAGTAATTTTTTTATTCGTAACTGGTTCGTAACCAAAAGTCTTGACCAAAAATAACTATTTGAATCTGGGTAATTTGAGTACTTGGTCAAATTCTGGTCAAATCTCAGAGCAATAATATCTAAGGTAACAAAGTAATATTCGGTGATAAAAAATAATCTCCAATTAGCATGGGAGATGGGAGCCAATCTGATACATTTATTTATCGATATCGAATAAAAGTGATTTTCATTTCTTCTTCCCATTACTATAGGTAAGGCTACCATAGAATCAGTCTATGACACGGGTCTATGATGAGCATATAAATTTTTACTATTAATCTATGTCGCAAAATTAACCTACAAATTATAAATTATTGGCGCCCTGGAAAACGTAAACAAGTGTTTACTGGTGTTTATTAAATAACGAATAACGTATTAATTATTAATTATTTTCAGTACACTAATTAAAACTTCTTTTCATTTATGAGTCTATTATTTGTGCAACATTAAAGTGCTATTTTTATTTCAGATTAAAATATGTCGAACAAATTATCTCAAAAAAGCATCACGTATGTATTATTTGAGAATATAAACTGTGTTTAAGAATAAATATTTTAGATCATTTTTCAAACCTAGTACGGGCAACGAAAAAGATCAACAAGGGTATGTATATACTTTGTAATGTTTTGCAATGTTGAGAGCTCTTCGGATAATTAATTTTTCCTTATTTTCACTTCACAAATATTCCAATAAGCTCTCCAGTTTTTCTTCACATAGCATTAAGTTTAATGTATTATATAATGTTTCTTTTCATAAATATATTAACAGTAGTCCAAATGAGAAAAAACGTTTTAGAAGTTCAAGTAGTGGTAATTCAGAAGTTGAGAAGTAAGTAGTTTTTTTTCTGGCTATAGAAATTAATGACACATTGATTTAATGTTATTTTTAGATCTCCTGACAAAAAAATTAAGAAAAAATCAGGTATGTTTATCTGTTTGTTTATTTTATAACAACTCTTTTGATATGTTTTTAAAATTTGTAGTTAAGAAAAGACAAAAATCTATAGATACTCGAGAAAACCTAAAAAAAGTAAAAACTGAAGATGAGCAGTCCACACCACCCAAGATAAAAAGTATTAAGGATAGTTCTACAGATGAAGAAAGTGAAGAAAAAAATACTGCATTAAAACATGAAAATCCTGTTGAAAATGAAGTTAGTACCAAGAAAAGAAATATTATTTTTGGTGAAAAAACAGCTGAAACCACGAAAAATTCATCACAATTAATTTATAACCCAAAAGTCAAAAATTATCACCCCATAGAAGATGCAACGTGGAAACGAAATGAACGGTATATTATGCAGAAAAATCTTATTTTTATGTTTATAAGCATTCTCTATCTCTATCTAGTGTTCCATATAGTGCTTTGGCAAGGACTTTGGAAGAAATTGAAGATGTGTCTGCTCGCTTAAAAATGATTGAAATACTTAGTAATTTTTTTCGTTCAGTGATAGTTTTGACACCTGATGATCTCTTACCAAGCATATATTTGTGTTTAAATAAAATTGCTCCAGCCTACGAAGGTTAGTACATATATTAAGGATTTTAAAATTTTTGTATGTATTTTTTTGTCATAATTATACAGTTTATGTTTAAATTACCAGAAGCGACAGGGACAATTTTTTCATAGAGCAAATTTTAATTGTTTTTTAGTCTATAATTTTAATGATGCAGGTTGTCAAATTTTGATTAGTTGATGTTGAAATATCAAGAATGAACATGTAAAAAACCCATAGACAAACAAATAAAAAGAGACTGACAAATCTCATGGTAAAGAGTGGGACCGCGTTCCCGTATCGCAACTCAGAATAACAATTTTGAAACCAATTAGCAGGACCATGGCATGACGTACGTCTTTGTTGCTATCTTTCTTTATTATGTGTGCTTTATATGAAAAAGAAAGAGATAGGTATAAAACGTATCGTAAGACATTATCGCACATTCTGGCTGGCGGAAAATTTAGATTAGCCTTTATTAGTAGTATTCTTTCATTCTGAAACTGAAAATTTTCACTTAAACTGACTTCCCTACACCACGTTCCCCTTACGTGGTATAGGGAATAAATCAGTTTAAGTGAAAATTTGCAGTTTCTTTCAGAATGAAAGAGTACTACTATTATAAGTAAAATTATAAAAAAAGCAAAAATTGTACTGTTTTATAAACATATTTATTTATACATAAAAATAAATAAACATTTTATAATATAATAACAAAAAATAACAGTGTTTATTCCACCCACCAGTAGGAAACGATCGGCAGGAAACGATCGGCCAATTTTTTTAAAGGGTATTAAAAATCTAATTTTCGAAAAAACTGTCTAATTGCAATAACATAGTGAATATCCAAGCAAAGAAGACTTTACGAGAATCATGATCCTGAACCATTTTCAAGTCCAGTTTTAATCCTAAAACAAAAGTAAAATAGGTATATTAATAAAGTTTCTGGTTACTATAAACCAGCTATAAACCTACCCAAAAAATGAAAAAAATTAATTGTATTAATTTGTTATGTTAAGAGAGGTTCGAAATATTTTTGACACTACTCTACTTCTACTTTTTTCTTAATAAGATGATAAATATAACTACTTACTTTTATTTTACCAGGTGTCTTTAACATATCTATCAGAGAAAGGGGGCACCAATACATATAAAAAATAGATGATACTGACTCCTGCAGCAAATAAAATAACAAATAGTATAACCGAAAACTATAAGTAACAAAATATAAATACCTATATGGAACAAAGGAATTTGTTCCCTATCCATATTCATAAGTCAATAAAATGGAGAGTTTAGAAAAAAAGGTAAATCACCAAAAGAAAAATTAACAAACATGACAAATTGTCATGATGTTGTCATCTTGGTTGTCATGATGACGAAAACGAAAGGCGATTGTTCTAATTTCTATTTAGAAATTAAGTTTTATATGGTTGCTTCTTTCTCTCTTGTTATATTAGAATGAGATAGGGGGCCCAATAGACGTAATGCGTAGATCAACATAAATAGAACGAAATTTTGCGTTCTGAGTTGCGCTACGGGAACGTTGTCCCTCTCTTTGCCATTTAATTTGCCAGTCTCTTTTTATTTGTTTGTCTATGAAAAAACCTTAAAGTAAAAAACTAGTTTTTACATGTAAAAAAGACTATGAATGGCCTGCTTTTTATATTATATGCATTATAAAGCCTCTGTGTTAATGACAGTTGTATAAATTTAATTTATTTTCTATATTTGGTCTTTTTATACCTAATATTTTTTTTATTGGTAATTGTTGCATATACGGTTTTCGGCTATTTTTGGATTATATAAGATAATTTTTAGATACTCACATTCTATTGTCCTTAGAGATTGCAAATATGCTGGGGGAGAAGAGAAATTGTGTTTCTTTAAGTATTTTTTCAACCAAACAAACTTACGGGACCAGGGAGCGAATAGGGGTGTTGGGCGGGGTAAAAACAATACCAAAATTGCATTTTTCCTCAACTCAAGCTCTTTAAGCTACACGCACACTGATGCAATCACGGCCGCGATTGCGATTACGATCAGGGCAGCGATAACATGAGCGATCATTCTAGCACACACCAACGCGTTCACGTTCACCGCCGTACCTATATGTAGTGAGCTCTATCCTTTAGGTATACATAGGTATAAATTAAAAATGTGAATTATGTATACCGAAAAAAAAACATTCTGAAATATTTACTTACAATATTTAAACTTAAACAATAAAAATGTATACATATGTACTATCCGATCCAATTGCAACTCTTTGTCTAAAACTTTTTATTTTTAATTCTATTATTTTTGTAACTTGGATCGGATAAATCATATAGGATTTTGTGTATTTTTACATCCTTAATTACCTGCTCTGTTAACTCCATTTCTAAATTGCAACAAATCTTAAATAACTTAAAAACAATTTAATTTAAGTATAGGAACATGTATAATCAAAAAGTAACGAATTGAAAAGCCTTTTCACTAGTGAAATAAAAAAAGTGGGTTGAGTGGGTAGAAATGATTTATGATAATTTTTTAATCTTATATTTAATTATTATATGTCATTCGAACAATTTAATTTTTGAAATAGATAGCTACATGTCTTCTCTCTATGGCACAATGACTGTGGTAATCACTAAATTTAACGTGTAGGCTATACACATATTTTTGACAGGCAGTTTTTTTTCGTCCAAAAATTGTAAATATTTTTTTTTTCTCAAAAACGGTTACTCTTAGGTATAGAGTGTTTCATATCAAAATTCATAAAATTTTACAGATAATTTAAGTATGTAATAAAAAATGGGAGCACCCATTTAAAATAAGAAAGTTGCTGTCATTTTTGTGAAACAATGATGTGCAAAAAATCTCCGATCTAGATATTGTAGTTCTCTAAAAAGTTCTAATACACGCTCAGCCTGAGACCCTGTATACCGTACTTTATATTATAAACATAATATAATTATGTTTATATACTATTCAGTATTTTTATGTTTTTTTTATTGAGCACTAAGAGTAATATACACGCTCGGTAATTCAATATCTAGCAAGCCAGTTTACGTGCATTGGAACGAAACGTCTATAAAAGGTCTAAGCTTAAACAGAGGTGGACAACAACTTCCCCGTCAACAACTCATTCATCTACTAAAGTTGAACCTGCATTTTCCCCTCCAAAAAATTAAATAAAGAACGAAATCTAAGTTAAGAAACAAACTAAATACCGACAAATATTTTAGAGCTTCTTAAAAAGAGAGTTTATAATTGCTACAGCTTTCCCATTGAAATGAAATTAATTGTAGATATGAGTGAACAAAATTTGATTTGACGTATTCAGTTCGTTTCGATCACTTCCTGTTTCACCGCAAGTGACTACAACTTTTGATTTTTAAACGGCACCTTCGGTATTTTTTTACTTTATTCCATAGAAAATGACACTCTGAATAGAATGACATATCAAATATGTCAACTTTTGACATTTACGCTTAAAAAAATCGTATTTGATAGTATTAGAGTGTCATCACAGCCATGACACTCTAGATTGAAATTGTCTGTGTTAAAAACACTAATTTTTAATAAAGGATACTTAGGATTTAATTGTCTATTGTTTATCGTGTATTGTCCTGGCCGATTAAAAGATGCCCAAATCGTATTTTTAATCAGATCTCAATGTTTTCAAATGGACCGAGAGTGGCTCAGTAGCATATTTAGAAAAAACATTTTTTTGTGCGTTGCAGATGTTAAAAAATTTAAAAACTAAACAACTGATTTTTATTAACTTTTTTTAACTGTTAAGCTATAGGTTAATACCTAAGGTTCATACACAGACAATTATACAGAGTGGTCCGAACTGTATTCCGGAAACTTCGGTAGCATATTCTGCAGATAAAAATAAGTAAAGAACTTCAATAAATGTATGACCTAAAATGCTTAGTGTCGGATATACAGTGTCATATTTATTTCGATTTTTTCCAAATCATCGTTTGGGAGTTTTTTGACATGATACATTTCATTTTGATGTCAATATGCCTTTGTAGGGGGCAGCACCTAAAGGGAAATTAAAACAACTTTCGTTGCACCTCATCAATGACACCATGCGTCGTCTTATGGAGTTTGTTGGTGGTCGTATTATGATGTGCAACCAAAGTTATTTTAATTTCCCTATACATGTATTTTAACTGTTTTGAAGAGTACCTAATAACTTTTCGTTCGTACCTGTATAAAACTACTGGATGAAAAAATATACATTTCCGTGATTTTTTTCGTAAAAAATGTCTCATGGTAAAAATCTCCATGAGCAACCGTTTTCAAGATATTTAGAATGGAAATATTAGTTAAGTAGTAGAGTAGATAGTTATTTGATTGAAATGGTTAATTTGGGAACTTTTAATTTTTATATATTAATAGTTTCTGTTGAACTTTTAGCACATAAACATAAATTTATGATTTGAGTCTAATAACTATTTAGTCAACATATTTCATTTATGTCAATGATGACAGCTTTTCCTTATTCGAGTTCAAAAGAACTTTTTTACGTAAAAAGCGTCGTAAATGTATATTTTTTTACTCAGTAGTTTTATACAGGTATGGACAAAAAGTTATTACTTTTCAAACCAGTTAAAAAATATGTAGGTTTCGCTCTCTACAAATAGGAGTCATAAATATTGACATCAAAATCAAATTTCTTATCTCAAAAAACGATTTTCATCTAAATATTGACGTTACTTCAGAAATTATTTGGAAAAAATCGAAATAAAAATGTAAGTTCTATACCCTGGATCTCCGAAACTAAGCATTTTAGGACCTACATACATTTATACGAACTTTTTATTTATTTTTATCTGCAAAATTATATGCTGCCGAAGTTTCCGGAATACAATTCGGACCACCCTGTATATAGAATGTTCAGCCATCCTTTACCGTCACGTCATATATTGTCGAACTGTCTCGATCACTTGATAACCAGATGAAAGAGAATAGTGACGTCATTACGGCATTTTATAAATTACTGCATATTCTTTTTAGTAAATGTCATTGTCATTTGATTTGGGGTTATAATTTTATTGACGGACATCGATCAATGTCAAAATTAAAAAACATATACATAAATATGAACTGATCTCAGACACACCCTAAAACTCTTATTTCACAAATAATGATGACGTAAGCGTGAACGATGGCTGAACATTCTGTACCCCAATTTTTAGGTTTAGAATTGGGCGTAGCCGAAACCAGCCTGATGAAAGCGATCGCCCAATCTACCGGTCGTACGGTTAGTCAAATTAAGAGCGATGCGCAAGAAACGGGAGATTTAGGCAAGGTTGCCGAACACTCGAAGTCAAACCAGAGAATGATATTCAAGCCGGCGAGATTGACCGTTAAAGGTGTTTTCGATAAGTTGAAAGAGATAGCTCAAATGACCGGGCATGCCGTAAGTCTTTCATTGAATCTGTAGTATCAGTTGTTCCCTTTGAATAAAAAGATTAAGGAAGGAGCATATCAAATATCTTAAGCCGCGTACTCACTGGCGAACTGCAACTGTAACTGCAACCGTTGCTGTAACCAAATTCTATAGTGTGGACGCGTTGTGAACCAGGTTCGCGAGCCAACTTCGAACAGCTCGCAGCGAGCCGCCAGTTGTCGGTTTTCAGGACGAACACAAAGAGATTCTCGGTTGGTTCGTGGACGTCGATTTGGGATGTTCACCAGTGTGTACGTCCGATAGTCTCGCAACCAAAAAAATATGAGTACCTTCGTGGGACGAAGAAAAGGTTTTGGCACTAATTGAAAAATACAAAAACATGCTTATAATATGGGATCCAAAAAATAAAGACTATTTAGACTCAAAAATTTTTTAGAGCCATTTAAAAGAAGATGCTTAGACAGAAATTGGTTCTTTAATGGGACATTGTGCTCCCGAGCTCTGTGCAAACAACGCGGATCGGGAGGTTCGCGAGAAGAGAAACGTGCATACCTTCGCGACGATTTTGTTACAGCAACGGTTGCAGTTACAGTTGCAGTTGGCCAGTGAGTACGCGGCTTTAGATCGACCGCGAATGGACTCTAAAATGGCCGACTTAAATTCCGGTTTATCGGTGCCGTTCTAATTTAATTTAAAAAGTGTAAAACTATGATGTAGGGTAGACGTCGGATAGATTCAATAATTTGCTGTTTTATTTTGCGTTGTGAGTAAATGTTGGAAGTTATTAAATTTTTTATAAAAAACCCAACCTAACCAAACCTAACCTAACCTAACTGAACTTTTCAGGCGTGGCGCTTTTTAAATTGATAGGGACATCATTGTAAATAGCTGCTATGTTATAGCAAAACGACCTTTCAAAAAGGGTCGTTTTATGCTTAGGCGGTGTTAACAAGAATTTATGCCGGAGATCTAGATTGTGCGCCTCAAATCTAAATTTTATTTTTTGGTACAAGTATTCAGGTTGTTTTTTAAAGATGATTTTATTATTTGAAGGACTAGACTATGTAATCGTCTTCTCTCACACATATCCAGCCACTTATTTTCTTTCAGTTTTGCGCTAATGCCTGTATCGTATTTTCTCAACCCACATATCATTTGCACACAATAATTTTGAATATACTGTATTCGCTTTTGGTCACGTGACAGTAAGCATGAACTGAAAGCTTAAAAAATGGCGCTTTTTATGAAGTCATGGCCAACTATGGTTTCCATTTAAAAAACATATGTTTGTGTCATATGTCAAAAATAACAGACTTTAGAAAAAATCGGAGAACACAAACTCATTAGGGAAGCGATTATCTACAACTTTAATCTGAAAACTTGTGTAAAATAGATTATAATTGAATTACGGTCAATTTTTAAAATAGCCAAAATTTGTTTTTTTAGAAATATGTAGTAAGCCATGAACTTTTTCAAAAATCTGAAAGGCGCATATTTATGACCCCATAAAACTGCAATTCTTCCCCCATTTAACCAGCTCTCTATCTCCAGTAGTTTCCGAGATACCCATAGAGAACATCGTAGGAAACTCACCCGGTATAAATATTTTAATAAAATGTGTTGTAATTTCTTTGTAACACTTTAGAAACTCAACTTTTTTACTAGGTATTTAATTTTATTGGTTTTTATTATAGTCACAGACGAAGAAAGTGGAAAAGATCCAGTCAATGTTCGTCGCGTGTCAGGATTCCGAGGCTCGGTTTCTCATCAGATCGCTAGCAGGAAAACTACGTATCGGCTTAGCGGAACAGTCCGTTTTACAGGCCATAGCGCTGGCTTGTGCCTTGACCCCTCCAGGTCAGAATTATCCACCTAAACAGCTTAATGCTTCAAAAAAACAATCGAGCGAAGACTTCAAAGCCAAAGTAGACGAATTAGCATTAATATTGAAAACTGCTTATTGGTAATTATATAAGCGCCTGGTCATCATAAATTTGTGGTATGGATTTTAACGCTAAAGATATTGTAATGGATGTTAAAAAGAGACAAATGTGGGTTGATACTTTTTGTGTCCGGTATTACCGGATTTTACATCAAAGCGTTTCGAATAGTATTGCAGTTAGTGTTGGCATCTTTTACTGGAGTGCTTTAAGCCCTTACGGGATACAAACCTCGGAATTCATTTACTGTGAACGAATTTTTATAAAACTTTTTGCATTGTATTGTTAATAAGATATATTACAAGGTTTACCCATTTAAATTCGTTGCTTTCACTTTAGTATTTAAATAAATACACATATACAAATGCATATGTATATACAAGATGGTTCCGTATTGCGGAAAAGCTCTGTATCAGGATTTCTATTTGAGATTTTCACTCCAAACCTTTTGCAAAATATTTGTTTAATGGTAGTTCATATTTCAAAAATATTTTTATAGATATACAGAGTGAGTCAAATATACAGAGTGGTCCGAACTGTATTCCGGAAACTTCAGCAGCATATTCTCCAGATAAAAATAAGTAAACAAGTTCTTATAAATGTATGTCCTAAAATGCTTAGTTTCGGAGATACAGGGTGTAGAAGTTTTATTTTATTTTGTTTTTTCAAATAATTTCTGAACCAACATTAACATTTGGATGTAATTTGGTGTCTACGAGTTTTTTGATATGAGAAATTCGATTTTGATGTCAATATGGCTCCTACTTGTAGACGGCGCCACCTACATATTTTTAATTCGTTTGAAGAGCAATAACTTTTCGTCCGTACCTGTATAAAACTACTAAGTAAAAAAATATACATTTACGACGTTTTTAACGTATAAAAGATCTCTTAATAAAAATCGCTACGAGTAATAGTTCTCGAGATATTTGAAATCAAAATTATCAATAGCTGTCATCATTGACATAAATTAAACATGTTGACTAAATAATTAGTAGACGGAAATCATTAATTTGAAATGTTTTTGTGCCAAATCATCACCAATCATCATTTTTTTCGAAGAAAATTTTATGATTAATTTAAAAAAATAAAAAATTTCCAAATTTATCTTTTTAGTCCAATAACTATCTACTTAACATGTTTATTTTTTGTCAATAATGCCATGTATTGACTATTCCCATTCTAAATATCTCGAGAAGGGTTGCTCGTAACGATTTTTACCAAGAGACATTTTTTTCGTAAAAAAATACGAAAATGTATATTTTTTAACTCAGCAGTTCTATACAGGTAGGGACAAAAAGTTATTACTCTTCAAAACAGTAAAATCACATACAGGTGGCGCCCTCTACAAATAGGAGTCATAATGACTATCTAAAATCAAATTTCTCATGTCAAAAAACTATCAGACACCAATTTTCATTCAAATATTTACTTTACTTCAGAAATTATTTGGAAAAAATTTCAATAAAAATGAAACTTCTACACCCTGTATCTCCGAAACTAAGCATTTTAGGATATATATTTATAAGAAGTTTTTTACCTATTTTTATCTGCAGAATATGCTGCCGAAGTTTCCGGAATACAGTTCGGACCACCCTGTATATCATTTATTTAGTTCAGTGAATTTGCTATAAAAAATTCCGGTTTCAAAAATACCCTAATACCATAGAGTATACTAAATGGTCTTTGAATTATGACCACGTCCATGAGGACGTTAATCTAGACGTCCAGGAACCTTCGTATGAGAACTTCTAATCGAGACGATCGACTTATTGTAAGTTTATTGCTAAGAAACCGCCGTTTGCCAGCTTTTCAAATTGATAATATTGAATTGCACTTAAGGACCGTACATATTAACTAACGGACTACAAGAAGAAGATTAAATGAAGCAAATCTTATGTCAAGAAGGCCTTATGTCCTTCGGGACCAGAACTTACTAGATGTGTTGACTAGGCCCAAAAGCAAAGGCATGGTCTTAATTGAAAATGTTCGAAAAAATGTTAGTGCCTTTTTTAAAACCGAATATTTCCAACAAAAATAAAGCTGATGAGGTGAACCAAAAAACAAACTATCGAGAAAGGATGTATCTAGATTATAAAATGATTTTTAAATGTTTTGCTGTTTTAACATATTTCACAGGGTGTTTCAAACTTTCACCAAAATATCAACATTTTGTTTTCCCTTGTATAATTAACAGATGGGGAGTTTCATTTTTAATTTAGAAAAAAGATACTAAAAAGTCAAATAATTTGGCAACACACTGCTTAAAAAATCATGAAAATCGGCCCATTAAAATAAAATATACTAACCTCTTTAAAATACATCAAAGTTTTAAGATGACCATTTTTCGTGCCGTTGAATGTATTTCAAAAACTATACGTTTTAGTCATATACTTTTCTAATGAAACAAACCTTTATTTCTTTACTAGAATCCAAAAATCAATTAATATATAGGGTGTTCCATTACAAAAAACATAACTTTGATGTGTCACTTTTTTGGGGACACATAAGCTCACAAAATTTCACTTCAATACAAACTTTTGTTCTCTTTGCAAAAACCGCGTCGTATATGACGTGCCCACCTGTATAATTCGATTTCAATCAAAATTTCAATGATTAGAATATATGCGCAATAGGTATAGCTTATGCATTAGATTTATTTATTTCAATAAATTTACTTAGAAAAAGAATTAAAAAAATGAAAATATTAAGAAGGAACTAATTAAGAATTTACTAAAATTACTAAAATAAAAAATTAAAAGCAACGAAAAAAAAATGGGTAAACATTTTAGTATTTTATCTATAAAACACAATACAGAAGGTTTCACATTAATACATTCACAGTAATTGAATTCCGAGGTAAAAGTCTCTGGGCACCCCACTATTTATCAACATTTAATTGGCTTAATATAGTTGTTAGTACTTCATATAACATTCTATAAAAAAATTAAACATTCTATAAAGTATGTCCAACGACTGTTCAACGAGGGAGTATGTTAATAAACACAAACATAAAACGAAATAGTGGCAAGAATTAACAATTAATATTTTTTAGCAAACCTGAACGTTACATTACAATATAAACAACTACAAAACTACTACGTTTCCTGAATGTTACCGTACAATATACAGATTGTTTTAGATACATTAAATATAATAACAAAAAATATCATGTAGTAACTATATACAGGGTAGTCCGAACTGTATTCCGGAACTTCGGTAGCATATTCAGCATATAAAAATAAGTAAAAAAGTTTGTATAAACTATGTCCTAAAATGCTTCATTTTGGAGATACAGGGTGTAGAAGTTTCATTTTTATTTCGATTTTTTCCTAATAATTTCTGAATTAAATTCAGTATTTAGATGAAAATTAGTATCTGGGTTTTTTAACTTGTATCTATATTTTTAACTCGGTATCTTCTTATATTACTTGTAGGGGGCGCCACCTACATATTTTTACCTGTTTTGAAGAGTATTAACTTTTTGTCCGCCCCTTTATTACACTACTGAGTGACAAAAAATATACATTTTTGCCTTTTCCTACGTAAAAATGTCTTTTGGTAAAAATCGCTGCGAGCAGCCGTTCGAGATATTTGGATTTTTAATAATTGATACATGTCGTTAATGACAAAAATTAGAAAGATAATAATTTTCGAGGCATTTTAGTATCATAGGTTCAACTGAAGCTGTTTTAAAACCTAACTGTAAGTTTTCTAGAAATTTCGCGATTTTTTAAACCTAACTGTAAGTTTTCTAGAAATTTCGCGATTTTTTAAAAATCGTATTTAGGAACATGTTTAATTTTTGTCATTGGTGATTATTAAGAATCCAAATATCTTGAGAACGGTTGCTCGTTGCGATTTACCTAGCAAGAGACATTTTTTAGGTAGAAAAGGCCCAAATGTATATTTTTTCTCTCAGTAGTGTAATACAGGGACGAACGGAAAGTTATTACTCTTCAAAACAGTTAAAAAAGACAGAGCGCGCCCTACATGTTAAAAAATAACCCAAATAGTAATTTTCATCCAAATACCGATTTTATTATTAATTTTTCTCAAGAAATGCAATACAAAAACTTGAAAATTTAGTTCTTCAAAGAACTGTTTTTACTTAAAAGTACAATTTCCAAAAAAAAGATTATGAAAATCGACAAAAAACGAGAATTCCTCCCAAAGATTCAACAAATAATGACTGACATTCAAAAAATAATGACTGACATTATGATAATTATCAAATAATTAAAATCGCTTTAAACTAATTTTTGCAGCTTTAAATAAAATATCAGTTACAATCATTTGTTCTATGAAGTAAAATGAAGAGCTGCTCGGTATCTTAAATTATACAACAAATTTAAACATTTTTGCCAAAATTTCATTTAGTCAGGTTTATAAGCTTTAGTGTCAATTTCAATATGACGTGCATCGGAAAATGTTTTGCGATTACCGTAGTAGTTCTATGTCCACGGAATATTGAGACACTCTGTATTCACCAATCATAAACATGATAAATCATTATTTATTATATAAGGTTCCAACTGAATTAGATATGTATATACATTTTTTTTAATTTTCACAATTCTTTCGTTAATTCAAGAGGTAAATTATTGTAAATTTTAATGCAGTTATAATAACGGCGCTATGTTCTGTGGGGGTTAACTTTAGATATGTTCGCTTAATTCAACGCCGGGTCCCGCCTTACCCATACCTACACATGCGAGAATTGACAATTTTGCATTCCATTGTGCCTCTGATTATAATGTAAGTCAACCATTTTTATCTTTGTCTTAAGCTTGATTTTCATGCATCCGTTGTCCGACGATACGATGATACGATATTAATTTCATTGGTTCAATTTAAAGTCTTCGATTGGTTAACCGTTTCTAACCAATCGAAGTGTTTAAATTCACGAATAAAATTAATATCGTATCAACGTATCGTCGTATAACGGATGCATGAAAATTAAGCTTTACGCGATAAAAGACATACCACAGATTTAGAACGACAACTCCATTCTTATAATAGACTTAAAACTAATTATTTTTTTAGTGAATGCCCTAACTATGATAAAATTGTACCTGTTTTGTTGGAAGAGGGAATTGAAGCACTTCCTGATAAATGCAAACTTACCCCTGGAATACCGTTGAAGCCCATGTTAGCTCATCCTACTAAAGGTAAAGGTTTAACAAATAAAGGATAATATCGGTGTTTCATTTATTTTTAAATGGGACTATTACACAGCTACTGCTTGTAATACATCACCTCTTCTATGTTTTTTTTGTAATCAATTTAAAAATATCGTTTGTTTACAGTTTATTGTCCACAGGGAGAAGGGTCTATTTTGGCAGACCATATCAAAAAGTTTTTTGTTTTTTGTACTAATAAATTTACTTGACTGTGTTAAAGAGTTATCAGACATCAGTACTGGCAATGGGACTGATATAGGTATACCGGATGCGTCTCTAAATGCGCGATTAAAAAAAACGAGCTTTGGTATGTTAGTATATGACTTAAATTGGGATTGATTGACGTAGATTTCCTGTTTCACCGGAAATTACTAACTTTTGATTTTTAAATAACATCCTCGGTATATTTCTGCTTTATTCGATAGAAAATATAAAAAACGTTAAAGAGACAATAGAATCTAGAGTCCCATGGCTGTGTTTAAAACACTAATTTTTAATCAAGGAGCCTGGGAAAAAATAGTTTTCATCATCTTATATTTTTCATGTCTTCTCGTGGCCGGTTAAAAGATGCCCAAATCGTATTTTTAATCATAGCTCAAGTTTTTCAAATGGAACAAGGGTGGCTTATTAGCATATTTGGAAAACGCATTTTTTTTATGAATAAGTTGGTACCAAACACTTGGTATTTTGAGGCAAATTGTCGTTATGAACCAAATATTACACTTTTAAATAAACTATATGCAAAAATGTCAAAAGTTGACGTATGATATGTCATTCTATTCAGTGTCGTTTTCTATTGAATAAAGTAGAAATATACTTCGGGTGCCATTTAAAAACTATAAGTTGCAGTCATTTTTTGTTAAACAGGAAGTGACTAAAAACAACTGAATACGTCAATCAATCCCAATTTATGTTATACACTAACATACCAAATCTCGTTTTTTATCTGAAAAAATTAAAAAGTTCTCTGGGCGAGCGACTTTTGAGACGCACTCGGTATAAGTACCACAAACAAAAAAAATCCTGAACATTTTTCTCTAATACTTTTGATATCTATGTGTCATGGACTTTCTGAACCAGTTGGCTTGTTTTGGTTTTATTGGACAAAAATTGACAAGCGATGACATTCACCATATAATTTTACAATCAAATGACAGCGATTTTTATTTCAAAGCCATCTTTGACGCTGTTTTTTCGGTTGTATTGTACATATTAAAGTTCGAACTGAATATTACTTCTATTCCTATTTTTATTCAGTCATGCGGTATCATATTTTAGGTGTTCAGGAGGTTTTGACGAGATTTGAGGGAATGACGTTTACCTGCGAATGGAAATACGACGGGGAACGAGCCCAGATTCATATTTCTGAAAAGGACGTGTCGATTTTCAGTAGGAATCAAGAAAACAACACTTCTAAGTATCCAGATATAATTTCGCGTTTGGAGAAATGCAAAGGCGAGTCGGTGAAATCCTGCATACTCGACTGCGAAGCGGTCGCGTGGGATAAAGAGAAACAACAAATTTTACCCTTTCAAATATTGAGTACCAGAAAGAGAAAGGTAACACATTAAATTTGTCACTAAATAACTCATTTGAATATTTTAAGTAGATAGTGTAGAATGTAGAATGCTTAGGAGGAGGGTTAATCACCGCGACCTTACAGATCTATTGTGTGTTCCCCTTTCTTGGCTTTGACAAAGCCAGTATCTGAGACGGCTCCATAGAGGGCCAGCTCTCCATCTTCGACATCAGCTGTACCAAAGTTTATGGCACGAACGGTTGTCGTCACGGCGCACTCAGTGATAAGGTGTTTTGGTGTTTCCCTATTTTTCCCACAGAATTTGCATTTGCCGTTGTTTCTCAGCTTCAATCTACTGAGGTGTTCGTTGAGAAGACAGTGTCCTGTTAGAAACCCCGTGACAATCCGAAGATTGTTCTTACTTAAATCAAGGAAAATCTTTAATTTTTTCTCGGTTCTAAGTTCTAACGAACTTTTCGAGTGTATTAGACCGTTGGAGGATTCCCATTCCAGGTTACTTTAATGGAGTCCTCCAGGGGTGGAACTCTGTAATGAAATAGCGATCGGTAGCGATGAAGAATACTATCGCTTGCCGTTTAGTTTGTACGGCCAAGGTCAGTATTCTTTATCGCTACCGATCGCTAATTAGTTACAGAGTTCCAGCCCAGGTTTTTCAGTTTAAGCTGGTTTCCGCTTGGAAAGCAGAACGGTTTTGGTCCGATTAGTGTGCGCTAGTGTTCGCTCCTTTCCTAGCTAGATCGTTTGCTTTTTCATTGCCTTCTATCCCTTGGTGAGCGGACACCCACAGTAGGAGCACGTATTTTTGATTTTCTTTGCCTAATTTGTTCAGCACTCCTGTAGTTCCGTTTGGGTTTGGTTCCTTGGAACTTTCATTGTTAATGTTGTCCCAGTGTCGCTAAGGGGTTTCCCCACAGCTTCACCGGTGGTGTATTTTATACTAGATCGCATAGTTTTCCCACGAGTCGCTAGGGATAATCGGTCCATTTCTACAGAGCTCCGCATATAGAAGTAAGGGGTAAATACAATAGGGTGCCCCCTGATGCCCCAAGGTAAATACTTATGTGACTTTAAGATAAACAAATTGGGAATACTTACTTGAAAGAAGCTGACGCTTGCTGTCGCTTCTGTAAAGTAAGAAATGCAATGAAATGGCGGGCTGTGCAACGATTTTGTTGTTACCTGGTAAAACGATAAAGTATTTTTAATAGAGGCGACTATTTATAAAAATCTTTGACCTATGAAAGTAAACAATAACCTATACAACATTTTTTTCCAGGATGCCAATGAGGCTGATATTAAAGTACAAGTTTGTGTATTTATGTTCGACCTACTGTATCTTAACGGTGAGTCGTTAGTTAAAAGGCCTTTTAAGGAGAGACGAGAATTACTGAAACAACATTTCAATGAACACGATGGCGAGTGGTTGTTCGCCAAAATGTTGGATACTACGAAAATTGAAGAAGTCCAGGAATTTCTCGAGGAAAGTGTTAAAGGTATGTATGATTAAAGTTGATTTATTGACAGGTTGATAGAGGTCCTTATCAACAATTCATCACGTCAAATGTTTAGATCTATTCATTGTATATTTGTAAACTTACCGGTACGAAAAACGGCTCCTTAAAATTTTGATGTATTTTAAAGTTTAATATATTTCGTTCTAGTTGACCGATTTTGATGATTTTTTTAAGCAATGTGTAGCTAAATTATTTGACTTTTTATTATCTCTTTCTAAATTGATATTGAAAGTTCCCATCTGACAATAATACGAGGGAAAACTTAGGGGTTGATATTGTGGTGAAAGTTTGAAACTCTCTGTGGAATATATTAAGAGAGCAAGGAATTAAAAAAAATCATTTTATCATCCAGGTACGTCTTTTCTCGATTAGTTTTTTTATTCGCCTGAATAGTTTTATTTTTGTTGGAGACATTCGCTTTTGAATAAGAAAGTATCCATTTACAGCAATTTAAGCGTTTGTGTTTGGGTGCTCATCAACATACTTATAAAATAGTGTTTATTGTTTTTGTAATGTCACTGTCATTGAAAAGTCATGTTATTATTGTACCGTATGATCGAATAAAAACGGCGTCAGCTATGACCGAGCGAGCCAAACCAAGCCATCGCTGACCTCGTTTTTATTCGATCATACGGTATATTGACGTTAACTCTAGTAGAGATAGTTTTAAGTTCTGAAGTATCGGCTATTTCTGCTTTAATTGATCATGGTAGAGATCAACTTTTGGACTTAAAACCATCTCTGCTAGAGTAACTGCCCAACAGATAATAATAATATGATTTTTTAAAGTCAGTGCCATTACATAAATCATAAACACTATATTATACTGTATGATCGAATAAAAACGGCGTCAACGATGGCTATGAAATGAAGATCGCTGTCATTTTATATGTAAAATTATATAGGAAATGTCATCGATCGTCATTTCATAGCCAACTGGACGCCGTTTTTTTTCGATCATACGGTGGGTCGGTTGACTAGGACCAAAAGCAAAGGTATGGTTTTCAGGTAAAAAATACGAAAAAATGTTAGTGTCTTCTTCAAAAGGGAATATCTCCAGAAAATAAAAATTAAGCTATTGAGATGAACCAAAAAACAAACTATCGAGAAAATATACACCTAGATGATAAAATTATTTTTAAATTCCTTGCTTTGTTAACATACTCCACAGGGTGTTTCAAACTTTCACCAAAAAATCAATATTTTGTTTTCCCTCATATAATTGACTGATGGCAACTTTCATTTTAAATTTAGAAAGGATTATTAAAAAGTCAAATAATTGAGCTACAAATTGCTTAAAAGATCATCAAAATTGGTCCTCTAGAATACAATATGTAAAACTTTAAAATACATGAAAACATTAAGGTGCCTGTTTTTCTTGTCAGTGAGTGTATGGAATTATTTTTGATATTTTTTGGGATATTTTCCAAAAATCATATTTTTTCCGCTAAACTTGCTTAAAGCAAAGTAAATCCAACTCTTCCAAATTTGTAAGAGAATATTTTTTCATTACTGTGATGTACATAATTGAAGTAAATAAAAAATGTAAATTTTTAATATGCCAAACTTACTGCGATGACTTATAGAAAAGGAACATTTCAACTGTTCATTCATTTAGAATAGTATAATAATAATAAAGTATTGGAGTTTTGAGAATTCTCATTTAGAATAGAGTATTAAAAAGACCGTTTGGTTTATAAAGTAACTTTGAATGTGTTAGTTCAATATTTTGCTATATGCTATTGCAACAAAACCAGTAAGTAGTATGAAAAAAACTATTTTTTTTAAATTATGTAAAGAGAATTTTTGTAATTTACCGTCACGACAGTTTGTTATTGGGCATGCTGAATTGATTTGATTTGACATAAAAAAAATATTAATTAGAAATTATAATTTTTTTCTATACCTCAATAATAAAAAGTACGTATAAGAAAACTTTTTAGCACATCCAGTAAAAGCCTATATGCTTCCTTATTTGATTTAACGTGGATTTTAATACGATTCTTATTAGGTAATTGTGAAGGACTGATGGTAAAAACGTTGGAACAAGAAGCGACATACGAGATTGCCAAACGATCGCGTAATTGGTTGAAACTGAAGAAAGATTATTTGGAGGGTGTTGGCGATACGCTAGACGTAGTTGTCATCGGTGGATATTTGGGAAAAGGAAAGAGAACGGGAACATATGGAGGATTTCTACTGGCGTGTTACGACAACGACTCCGAAGAATATCAAAGCATTTGCAAAGTAAATATATTCTTTTGATCAGGGGGTGAAATTTTAAGTTAGGGAAGCAATTTTTAGAAACTTACCTATTTGTTATGTAATTCGTTGTTGAAAATCGCTTTATTATTAGGACACACACCACACACTCACACACACAATCTTCTTTAATTCTCCAATATTTTCAACGCTATTCCCGACACCAGAAGTTGACGGTATTTGCATGTCAATGTCCGTATTAAGGTTGATTTTCACTATACCTTCCGTTTCCATTCCATATCCATTCCATATCCGTTCCGTATTTTTTATTGTATTGACGCTATACGTAAGCTTCCGTTCCGTATCAGTTCCATACTTTTTATTGTACAATTTATATCATTCCGAAGGTTTTATTTTAAAAATTCGTATATTTTGAAAAAGGTAATAGATTTAATTAAGAGGTGAAAGAATAAATAAATATCAGCAAAATATTCACAGAACTTCCGATGCGCTTCAGTCCGTCCGTCAAAAATGTATGGAAAGAAAGGATATGGAACGGAAGGGAAACGGAACGGATAGTGTGCATTGTCCTATTCATTTACATGATATAATATTTTATGTAAACGGAAGTGAAACGGAAGGTAGCCGATACGGAAGGTATAGTGAGAATCAACCTTTATTGTCTTCCATATTGCACGAGGTACGCCGCACGTACGTATCACACAACAAACGCATAACCGACAATCATCCAAATTAAAACAAAGAACCTATTCTAATGATAGCTTCCACGCCCGCTTACAGCACGCGACTCCGCTGCGGGGGCCGGTGGGAGGTTTAATAACCTCTTGACGCATATGATAGACTGCAGACACCGCTGTAGAGAAGCTAGCACCCGGTTAGATTCTATAGGATTTTTAGTGTTGCTCGGTCGTAGTCAAGGCCGCATTTATTATAGGCTTGATAATTAAGATAATGTTTTAGCATTTTAAATATAAACCAAATCACAAGTATACACGGTTTTGGACCTGAGCAACTAAAAGCAATTTCTAAGATAATTTTTGGAGCCCAATCCAAATCAACAGTCCATTTTTTAAGATGGTTCTAGTTTTCGAAATATTCAATAAATTCATTATTTTACTATTTTTGACGGTTAACGGTCATTTATTGAATTAAACAATATAAATCAGAAATGAACAGAGGTTCAACTGAGTCTTTTTTATACTGCTTGGGATCTGTTGCACGGATTAGGGTCCAACAGTAATCGCTCATCATGCCTTCGTCCCAAAATCCTTGGTATCGCCTTTCGATTTTCGCTATATCTTGGTGTAGCCGCTCTCCTTGCTCGTCGCTTGTGTCGCCCAAGTTTTGTGGAAAAAATCAAGATTGTGGTAATTTTGCAACATATTGTCGATTACTTGCTTGTAATCCGGTGATTTATGATTACCGCGAAAGTTGTGAACAATACTTTGCGAGGCAGCAGCATGGGCATCGTTGTGAACAAACGATGCCCATGCTGCTGCCTCATCAAGCGTTAAACATTTTGTAAACGTTGCGTCAGCCATTAGTTTTCGAATATCAGGTCCGACAAATATTCCTTTTTTGGTTTTTGCGTATGACAAAGTTATAAGAGCACAGTGCTACTGCCATGCGCGAACTCGAAAAATAGAGCCAATCTTGACAAACGGATTGAAGATCTGAGTTCAGGGCCATCAAATAACGTTAAGAATCGTTCTCATCTGCTCGGGTCCAAAAGTTGACCCGAATTTGTAAACTTGTGAAATTAATTGTTCCATATTTCAAAAATTATATTTTAGAAGATGACGTTTTGTAATTTGTTTAGGGGAAGCACTGCTTTCCTTGCTTCCATGGACTGCACTCCGCTGCTTTTGATATACAATAAATTACATCCGTATTGATGACTTTAACCAGTAGCGGCTCACACTGGGTGATGCAAAACTTCACTTTAAATATTGTAGCACCTATCTTATTTAAACAATTGTTATAAAAGTAGAAATTCAATCATTTCATTTTTTTAATTAGTTGTTTCTCAATTGCAAATTCTGTTTTTCCCGTTAGCTATAAATGTCGGAACGTCGCCCTACAAATAGTCGCTGCGCTATCCCGATCTATTTCAATCGAAAATGTTTAAGTGTAGCTGAAATCCAGACCATCAAAATTCTGCTCGTACGCGCGCTGTCGGGGTATTTCCGTCATCGTCTCGACTGGAGGTTTTTCAGTTGAGAGAAATAGTTTATCCCATCAAAAACATAGAATGTAAAAAAATGCCAAGTCTCGCAACACAATTCCTTCGCTATAAAAGTTGTGAGATCTCATGTAAAACCAAGTCAGTTTCTTTTATTTTGTCTCTCTTTAAGCACCTATTCAACAATTTTGTTATACATTGTTATTATCAATATTAGTCATCTTTATTTCTATAATAATTATAATGACTTGGCAATTGCATGCACGGCACCATAATTATAAAAAAGAATAGTCTACGTAAGTAAATCTAAGCGGTGTACTTAAGAATAAAGCTTTTTATTTACTATAGAAGATCATATTGTGCAATTAACATAGGTTATCCTATAATTCATAAACTTTGAATTATCATATAATTAATTAAGTCACATAATATCAATTAATTCTAGTTTTCTAACGACTTGTTTTTCCGACTTTCGTTATAACTCAAATATCAACTTTAAAAATGTTCAATTAATAATTTTACCAATGCTTATTCAACATTTTTTTTGTCAATTTTACGCATATTTTATTTTTTATCTCGAAAACTATAAGAGATAAACCATGAATTATTGTTTAACATACGTATTTAATATTTTACAATCAGAATATTAACGAAAATAAAATAAAAAATATTATGCCCCGATGCACAGTGGTTCCCAGATAGGTCATTACTTAGAAATATTAATTTCAAAATGTTTGCATGAAACTGTTGCTATACTCTGTTTTTTTTCTCAGGTAAGATTTCGACAGACGATGACAGAAGAAAAGCAGATGACGTCCCATACCAATCTATTTATTTTACTAAAAAAAGTTTCTAATAATTTTTAAGTTATCTATGGATGGGTTTAAATATAAATCCGTCATGCGTCGTGTCTTGTTGTTTTTAACCAGTCTTATTGGTTTACTTAAAAAATGACAGATCGTATTTCAATTTTATTGGTTTGACGGAATGATGAACGACAAACGGACGTTAAACATCTTTGTACGAACGTTGCGTCAGCCATTAGTTTTGTCATTTTTGACGCTTGTCAAAGTCTTGCCAAATTCATAGGTTATAATTTTGTGTCAACTTTGTTAAATATCCTGCGTTTTGGAAGATGATGCATTTTGATTCGTATTATTACGTGTGTTTTGTGTCTTTTGAAGTCAAGTGGAGGAAAAATCGAGTGAAAATTAACTGTAGACCCAGAGCACAGTTTATGGTTAATACGCGCTGCCCAGGCAGAAAGTCTTATACACCAATGAAGTTGCCATCGATAAAGTTTGTATACCATTTCGTCGTAGATAAGTGCATCGTATATGGTAGAAGGATCAAACTAAACACTTACTAAAAACTGGAGTAGCTGTAAAATATCGACATCACACGATAAGTAAATAATGGATTTTAGTACTGCAGAAAAATAATGTCAAAAGGTACTGGTTTAAAAAAATTAAGATTAAAGTTAATTAATCAACCTTTAAGGTATAAAATTTGGTAGGTGTTATTATTAATAAAATAGTTTATTTTATTTACCTATGTTGTATGTAGTTTCATAAAGCTTGAAAGTAAATAATAGTTCTTTTTTATATTTTTTTTGGTATGTAGTGTCTTGTTCTTGTTTGTTTTGTATTAACACATACCGTTTTTATTAAATAAAATAACTCGATTACATTTTTTCAGTTTTATACAGTTTTTTTCACAATATTTTGAAGTAATCACTTGTCATCTTGTCAATCAAATTTTAAATATTTCCTGCTATGTTCTAGTTGTACCAACTTATTGCATCTTGTGAAAATAAACCAACGAAATATTCTAAATAACGATAAAATGACAAATCACATTAATTCAAACGAGGGTTTCCGTTACGAACTGATCGACGGCAAGTCGGGTGTAGTGGAATTACGTCACGAGGGGGCGTGGCCTCGTCTAGCCGTTACAAACTTTAAGCTCTCATATCTCGAAAACAGCAAAAGATTTCGTTTTGAAATTTTAATAGTGCACTTATTATAATAAGTAGTATCCAAAAACGTTTAAAAAACATAAAAATAGGATATGATGGAACAAGCCTATTAATTACTTATTTTATTAAAATTGATAAAAGCTGTTGCCTTTTCTGTAATGGACGTTCGAAAAGAAGGTAAAATGAACTGTTTTTTCTTTTTTGCACTTAATTAAACCTAAGTAATATTAGTTTATGGCAATTTATTTGAAGGTAACAAAAATAGAATATAAAATTTTTACATTTTTGCTTGTCACTCTTTAAGACTTTTAACTACTTTCCCTTTCAAATCCTCTTAAACGGCATGAAAATACTTGTTGCTTAAAGTATATTGCATATAAATTAATTGCCACTGGCTGCCGCGAATTGCCGCCGGATCTTATACCGGGCGGTTAAAGATTGACTTTTTGTCTTAAAATAAAAGTAACTTATTTTTTCCTCTTCGTGTCAACTTATTTCGTGGACACACTGTATATCATTTGACAATAAAATTGTATTTATAGAATGTAACAACTGTCTCTTTTATTTTTTCAACATTTAAAATAAATTTAACCTCTTCAGTTTGAAAAAAACATGTACATATTATGTGCAAGCATATCTGTATACCTTTCCGAATAGTTGGAAATAAAATGTAAATCACACGAACTGGGCCCAATTTTTTGAATACATATTACATTAAGTTTTTTATATACATTTATTTAGCATTCGTTATCAATTTCTATTAAAAAAGGTGCAGTCAAGCTATATCTAGATATATAACAGTTATGACCGCGCAGCTAATTAAGGCGAACCACTGTGCGATGGAGCCTCGAACTTGGGCCTCCCGAGTTCGGCCTTCCGAACTAGCGGAATACTTTGCCGCCGCGCTATCAAGCCTTGGTCGAAATATTAACATTTAAGGTATTTAACGTATGATTTTATATTATTTATATTTATATATATATTTATTATAATTATATAACGTTATTATTTAAGGCATTTAACGTATTAAACTAAAAAAATAAATAGGGACTTCATTACAAGTTAAAGTCTGACTAGAAAAAAATCATAATCCTTGAATTATTGTTGGTACATTGATATATAAATAAAATCAGAAGAAACCGCTCCGATTAATTCTAGTTTTCTATTTTTTTCTCGGCTGGAAAGCTAGTTACCGGTAGCGGCTAGACAGCTAACTTTTAATCCATAAGGATATTTCGAGATTTTTCATTTTTTCCTTTGGTTATAAGCTTAAAGCTACCTCAAATTCTAAATTTGGAGTTTGTGACACATCTAGAAGTACCTTAGAATTTTGATGATCTGTCAGTGAGTCAATGTCGAAATTAAAGAAATTTGACAAGCGGATAATTTATAAACTATGAGGGATAATTACTAGATATTTTGGTAACCTAGCCAGCTATAGTATATCTTCAAGTGTAGTGAAAATTAATATTCTTGCTTTATCTACAACGAACTTACAGGGTGGTCAAAAGTGCCGCTAATACCTTCGATAATATAGAGAAAAGGCTGGTAAGGCTGTGCAGATTCACCTAAACAAAATAACAAACTAAAATAGTTTATGTCTGTGTGGATTTCAAAATGAAAATAAACAGCAACAACAATGTCGACTTCTACCATATTTTTTTTTGTCTTAAGATCTTTGTGTTTAGGTTTTCTCTCACAAAAAATGTCTCGCAAAAGCAAATTCATCGTTTAATTTAGTAATGTACTTTCATATTAATTTAGTAATGTACTTTCATATTTTAATGCCCCTTCTATATATCATTATTGCTACAAAATATTTTTGTTTGAAATATAGATTTTTATTTTTATTTCTATATCATGGTTCTGAAAATAAAATTATATAAATTAATGTGAGTAGAACGCGTTCTTATGAGTTTAAAAGCTCAACAATCGATAAAAACACATATTTTTAGTTAAAAACGCTATCACTCGCCAATATGGCAGAATTTTAATACATTATTTTATAAAATTGGCACGGAGTGGGACACATCTGATCTGCATTATATCATATTTGTGTCTAAAAAGAGAGAAACTCGTGTTTCGAAAATGAATCGATAATAAATGAAAACTTTATTATGTTTCCAAAATATTTCGATTTAGTTTCGCTGAATTAACGCCGCAAAAGCAAAGATAGTGTAGAAATTTCGAACTAGTCCCCTGTCAACAACACCAATCAAAACTTCAAAAAAGGGTTAAAATAATTAAATAATTTAATTTTTTATTTACTTATTATAATTCAATTAAAATATAAATATAGTATTCCATTGTGTAAAGAGATGAAAAAACATTTACTGGTAACATTTTTCTTCAGTCTCCTGTTGGGTATGAATAGTGGCTGTTATGTGGCTGTTTTTTTAATTATACTATAAAAAACTTGAAAAATGCTTAAATTGTTTTCACCATTTTGCAAAAACGGCAGAACAAAATCCCAACAATAAAGTAAGGTTATGTTCTCATATTTAACAGAATATCAAATAAATTATGGAAACTTTTCAAGCACAAAATGGGTACAAAACATGTACAAAACCTTTGTAAACTTGAGCCACGTCTGTTTCTTTAAAGGTTCGAAAAATTTGTGACACTAAGATCTTTATTGTTATAGCTTATGTAGCAAAACCATATTTTGGTAAAATGTTTCGAAACAAAAAACGGTTTATTTTATGAAACATATACAGGGTGGTCCGAACTGTATTCCGGAAACTTCGGCAGCATATTCTGCAGATAAAAATAAGTAAAAAAGTTCGTATAAATATATGTCCTAAAATGCTTAGTTTCGGAAATACAGGGTGTAGAAGTTTCATTTTTATTTCGATTTTTTCCAAATAATTTCTGAAGTAACGTCAATATTTGGATGAAAATTGGTGTCTTGGGGTTTTTGACATGAGAAATTTGATTTTGATGTCAATATGACTCCTACTGGTAGAGGGCGCCACCTACATATTTTTTAACTGGTTTCAAGAGTAATAACTCTTCGTCCGTGCCTGTATCAAACTACTAAGTAAAAAATATACATTTACGACGTTTTCCACGCGAAAAAGCTCTCTTGGTAAAAACCGCTACGAGTAATGGTTTTCGAGATATTTGGAATCTAAATTATCAATACCTGTCATCATTGACATAAATTAAACAAGTTGACTAAATAGTTATTAGACTGAAATCATAAATTCGAAATGTTTTTGTGCTAAAAGTTCAACAGAAACTGTTTTATCGTCATTTTTTGCAGAAAAATTTATGATTAGTTGAAAAAAATAAAAAATTTCCCAAATTTATTATTTCAGTGAAATAACTATCTACTCAACGTGTTCATTTTTCGTCAATAATGACATGTATTGACTATTTCCACTCTAAATATCTTGAGAACGGTTGCTCGTAGCGATTTTTACAAAGAGATATTTTTTACGTAACAAGTCACAGAGATGTATATTTTTTCGCTCGGTAGTTTTATACAGGTACGGACAAAAAGTTATTACGCTTCAGAACAGTCAAAACCCAGGTAGGTGGCGCCCTCTACTAGTAGGAGTCATCTTGACATCAAAATCAAATTTCTCATGTCAAAAAACTCCCAGACACCAATTTTCATCCAAATATTGATGTTACTTCAGAAATTATTTAGAAAAAATCGAAACAAAAATGAAACTTCTACACCCTGTATCTCTGAAATCAAGCATTTTAGGACATACATTTATACAAACTTTTTTACTTATTTTTATCTGCAGAATATGCTTCCGAAGTTTCCGGAATACAGTTCGGACCACCCTGTATATCAAAAATGAGTCGAATTAGTTTCAGAACTTTTGTGTCTTGACACAAACACCATTATTGTTTCGAAACTGTTTTGCAATGTTCCTCAGCAGAGATTTTGTGTGTAAAAATGCTACTTGGGATGAGTATTTAGGATCCACAATCCTGACGTAATAATAGGTGGTTGAAGGGTAGTGCTAGCTACATTACCTTCCTTGTATACTGAACGGCTCTAGCATGGCAAGCTGTATCTTGCTACTTCTAAAAGCGTTTCCAAAAAAGCTTCCAAAAGTTTTATGAAAAAAAAATGCAACAGATAAATTTCAACCATCAATGTTGCTTCTAAAATATGTTCGAAATGTATGCCCTTTTGATAAACAAAATTCGTTCACTTTTATAGATCGGCACAGGATTTACTGATGAAGATCTTCAGACTCACACGGATTTCTTTAAAGGGCATGTAATTCCTAAAGCGAAGAGTTACTACAGATACGATTCGTCTTTAGAACCAGATCACTGGTTTGAACCAGTTCAAGTTTGGGAAATCAAGTGTGCTGATTTGTCTCTGTCTCCAGTCCATTATGCTGGTGTTGGAATTGTAAGTAATAACATTTTTTAAAAATATGGCTAATCATTATTTAAATTGTTTTAACTATTGCTTTAGTGTTATCACTTTGTTGTCTTATATTTGCGGTGCAATTTACTGTTGATCTTGAGCTTATCCGAATGCTTCTATATGATGATGCCTTTTAACATTATAACTGTTTTATATCTTTCCCATAAGTCTATGACTTTTTCTTATTGGAAAATTTTCATCTTAGCTTTAGTTACTTGAAAATATGAATTACACGATCTTAGTATTTCCCATCGGAAAACGATAGGCAGATCATTTGCATTTTAATATAAAATCAAATAATAATTTCAAAACTTTTCTCCGTATTCTGGGAACATATATTATCGACAAATCACAGTAATCTCATTAAATATATTTTTTTTATTTTAATAAAATTATATCTAATCACATTAATTACAACGTGGTCAAAAATATTTAGAAGGCGTTCCAAAAAGTTTGCAAAACAAATGGAGAATTTTCTAATTATTTTATTATTGATCGAATAAACCGTTTATAGAGAGTTTCTTCGTTATGTCCAATAACAAAATAATAATTTTGACATATTATGTCATGCGACATTTGTACCTTTTTTATTTTATTTTATTTTTATTTTACTCATAGCGGCACATTACAACATTCTGTATGCAAAAAGTGGAATTAATGTCAAAATACAGAAAAATGGCATGGAGAAAAGTTTTTCAGAATTTGATCTTACGTCTTTGAACAGGGCTTTCAGATATTTAGTGCGATACGTGCAGAGGCTTACCTGTTGGATGTAGTAAAATACTTTAAATGTATGAGTTATAAAGTTAACTGAACTAGTCTATCAGAAAGTTTATAAAGTCATAACTTCGCTTTTTTAACCCGATACCCTGTATATTTTAAGTTTTTTTGAAATATCTTTTTCGTCTGGTTTGAAACCTATCCAGTTTGTCTAATTTGTATTAGATAACCGTTTTAGAATTATTAATTAATACAACCGCTATACCGCACGTTACTTTTCAGACCATATTATTACAATAATAGCCTGCTAGTTTCACACATACAAGCATTTTGAAAGGATTTTTGTAATTTGCCTGCCATGACAGTCAAAATATGTATTGTTTTTGTTTGGTATGTTGCAAAAAAAATCCAAATTTTTTGAAAATTCAATCTAAAAATTCTCCGCTTTATTGCAAACCTTTAGGGCCACCCTGTATAATCATGAAATTATTAAACACTCTTGTTTAAAAACGAATAACTGCATTTGTATCCCAGATATATCTAGGATTTGTCTAATTTTTTGTTGTAACATTAAATAACGTAGAACATTCATTACTTATTTGATCAGTCTTATTTAGTATTCTTTGTCGAATTTAAAGTGTGAGTCAGTTGCCTACAAAACGGTGCCGTAAAAGAAGGACCGTAATTTGGTGGCCGTTTTTGCCAACGAACTTGGTAATTATTATTGCAAAGTAACGTTAAATACGGTGCGTTAATATGCTACCGCTTTTCGCTTTGAGCAGTTCAAATCAAATATTATCTACCGTCAAAAATCGTGCTTGCAATATCCCACTGTACAGGGTGGGTCAAATTGGAAACTTAAAAATTTAAAGGCAAACGCCCTTGTCTATAGGAGATAGACGAAAACCAATATCGGTGTCTGGAGCTCAATTTTTATCAAAAACATGATGGTGAAAACCGCACATCGATATCTATTCGGTTATATAATTTCGGAGTAACGAGGTGTTTTTCAAAAATGTGCATTTTTGACAAATCGCTGTAACTTTTTTGCTATGAAAAAATTTTGTATTTTTATGAAAACATTTCCAAAGCACCTTTTTACGTAGAAAAGTTATCAACAGAAAAATTGATTTTTTATTTGGGACACCCTGTATATTTTTAATTAACTGAAAAGAACTTAAAATTCCCTTTCCAAAAATATAGTAGACTTGATATTTTGTTATAGTCCTATTCGAAATACAGAGTTTTTAAAAGTTCGCCTCTTTTAACTAGTAGGCTTTAGACCCCTTATTTATGATCTACCCCTGGATTTATTTTTCCAGCAAGACGGGGCATTGCCTCAGAATACTGAAGTTATGAGCAAATTTTTGCAGCCAATTTCGGGAATAATTGAGCGTCCGGATTGCACAACGACCTTAGCGAGTGGCCGCGGGCTGCCCAGGAGGCAAGCGAGACATCGACGCTTTGCTGCGCGCCGATTTAACAAAATAAATAATTTTAAAACTGCCGTCATTTCGTTAATAATTATCGTATCGTGCTGATTTTTGCATAGAAATACTCATGAGTCTTTAGCGCTTCCGACAAGCCTAAATAACTGGATTATTTTTTATATTTTCGATTTGTTTACATTGTCCGAGCATATTATAACTTTGAGATAAAAATCTCTGTTATAAATTTTAAAACTGACTAATTTAATTAGTTATACATTTAGTTACAACATTTTCAAAATTTAGGTCTATGGGTTTATGCTAGCAGTAATAACGAGTATAAATAAAAAAATGGTCAGTACAACGCTCGCCGTTTTTAGCGCACGTTCAGCTTTGGGTTTAGTTTTAGCGTTATTTTTATAGAAAATAAATTTTGAACTTTGATCAAATGACAAGAACATTATCATTGCCAATATCTCCTGGTTATAATGTAGTTCTTTTGTCAAAATATTGCATTGTTTTAGCTTAAAAAAACTTGAATTATGCGGCTTTTTTTGCGAGACCTACCGGAGCTGCGTTAATAAAGAGATGACTATGTACATCAAGCAAGAGAGACCAACGAGGAAATCCTGAGGAGGATGGGGAGAGAGCGTGAACTGCTAAGCACAATAAAACGCAGAAAAACAGCGTACCTGGGACATGTTATGCGCAATGAGAGATACCATTTACTCCAACTAATAATAGAAGGAAAGATAGAAGGAAGAAGGGGATTGGGCATGAAGAGGATGTCGTGGCTCCGAAATGTTAAACATTGGACGGGAATAAGAACTACACGAGAATTAATTCACGCCACCGGAGAGAGAGAAAGATGGTCAGAACTGATCGCAAACATCCATTAATGGATAGCAGCAGAAGAAGAATGTACATCAATCATAGCCACAATAGACTGTTATTTTACCTCGTCACGAGATTTTTTGGAAATATTGCACTTACATTTATCCGGATTTCTACTAACTTTTGACTTTTCTTTTCGGTCGCATTTCCCTCTATTTAATAATAAATAATTTAAAAAAACGCACAAATACTACTGGTAGTAAACAAGCTGTGGCAAAAATTTTCTGTACTCCGTGTAAACAAAAGACTATCGCAAATACTGTTTTTCGATTGACGTACATAGCCAACTCTTTATTAACGCAGCGCCGGTAGCTCTCGCAAAAAAGCCGCATAATTCAAGTTTTTTTTAAGCTAAAACAATGCAATATTTAAGAAAAACACAAACAAAAAGAACTACATTATAACCAGGAGATATCGGCAATGATAATGTTTTTGTCATTTGATCAAAGTTCAGAATTTATTTTCTGTAAAAATAGCGCTAAAACTAAAACCAAAGCTGAACGTGCGCTAAAAAGGGCGAGTGTTTTATTTTATTTATACTCGTTATTACTGCTAGAATAAACCGATAGACCTAAATTTTGAATATGTTGTAACTAAATGTATAACTAATTAAATGATAGTATTCATATCTGTCAGTTTTAAAATTTATAACAGAGATTTTTATCTCAAAGTTATAATATGCTCGGGCAATGTAAACAACTCGAAAATATAAAAATAACCCAGTTATTTAGGCTTGTCGGAAGCGCTAAAGACTCATGAGTATTTTATGCAAAAATCGACACGTTACGATAATTATTAACGAAATGACGGTAGGTTTAAAATTATTATTTTGTTAAATCGGCGCGCAACAACGCGTCGCTTTCTCGCTTGCCTACTGGGCTGCCCGCGGCCACGCGCTAAGGTCGTTGTGCAATCTGGACGCTCAATTGAATAACTAACCGTTGGCCGCCGAGGCCACCGGACTTAGTGCCTATGTTTTTTTATCTTTGCGGAAGAATAAAGGTATAAATTGTCCATATAATCTAGACAAGAATTAGAAATACTTAGCGGTTATGCGAGGGTCTTCACCCCCACTGATTTAATGAGTTCCGCGAGAAATTTTCAAAAACGGTCCCGTCTGGCCATAACAGAAGCCGGTCGACATGTCGAATACCTGTAGCAACATCTCATGTCTTGGTTTGCTATTAATTTTTATTGTTATTAGATATATAGTTTAAATTGTTTTAAAGTTCTGCATCTCTCATTTCAAATATTTTTTTCGTTTTAATTGCTCCAGACACCGATATTAGTTTTCATTTATCACCCTATACATACAAAGCGGCCGCTTCAGAGAATACGGTGCCGTATTTTTCACACGGAGGAACACGCCGATTTGCAAGTACGTACACGTTTTTTTTCGACGTAGCTCGCCGTCAAGTTATTGCCGCTCTTTTGCGGTACCGCTTTGTAGGAAACGGAAGCTAAAGGAGTACCTGCCAAAATAAAGATAGACAATAGAAAAGTTTACGTGTGCAACAGAAACCGTTGGTAAAAAGGAATATGACTTTAAAATTATTGTTTTTTTAGGTTGACCCAGAGAAAGGAATCTCTTTACGATTTCCCAGATTTGTTAGAATACGAGACGATAAAAATGTAGATGACGCTACTTCTTCACAACAAGTGGCATATATGTACTCAAACCAAGAACAAGTGAAGAATCAACAAGGCGATAAAAATAAATTCACCGAAGAAGACTTCTATTAGAACTCAATTTTATATATATTTTCAATTATTTATAGAAATAAATATTTTACTTAAAACCTCACATTTATTTATTTTGTGGTTAAGTTATTATTTACACTTTCAATTATTACATTATTCAAAGCTCGTCGTCAGATATTTCTGGTTCTTCCGTGTCACTTGCTGTTAGTCCATTTTCCTGCAAATATTTATTATATTGTACTGGTATTTTCTTAAACGTTCGAATTTTCTGTCTCAATTGTTTCCAAGTCTCTTGATAGTAATTTTTCCTATCTCTTGCCATGGCTTTGTAGTCTTTACCATATTTCCTCAATAAATATGTTATCCACTCCACCTATCAAATGCATAAATGTAATACTGGTACAAAATTTCTATGAAAAACATACTTGGCCTTTTGGCAATTGAAACCTTTTTTCTCTTGGAGCCTTTGCCTCACTTTCCAATGCTTTCACTACATAATTTTTACTGTTCTGCTTTATTTCTTCGGCTTTCCATTCGGTACCTTCAGACGCACCTGGAATATAAATAATTAGTTCAGCATAAACTACTTTGCAAAAGCTACTACCTAATGCTTCTTTGAGTTGTTTTTTCCTTTTGGGTATTTCAATAGTTTTATTTGGATCATATGACAAGCCCATCTCTTCTAAGTTTGATTGAACTGATTTTTTCTTATCCCAAGCATTCTTGATTTCTTTACTACAAAAAAATACAGGTAGAAATCCTACTTAAAAAATATTCGAAATACTTCTAAAAGTCTACGAGTATGAAGCATTTAATAATATTAGTGATGGGAAAAACCGATTAATTTCAATAATCGAGTACTCGAGTATCAAGCAATTGCAATAACCGAGTGATCACTCGAGCGAAATATCGCTCGTATTTAAAATATGTTTTTTTGTCCGTCGCATGTTGTAAGATGGTTGTAAGTACTCGTTAACCCCAAGCAATAAGCTGCGTGCGCAGGGTACATATTCTTTCGGTAATGAACGGCAAGTAGTAAGCGGCGAGCGATTCGCTTGATTTAGTTTATTTCGAAGCTTTGTCGATGTAGGTCGTAAAATGTTGTCCCTCAGATACGCAACGGATAAATATACCGGGTGCGTCTCAAAAGTGGCTCACCCCTATAACTTTTTATTTTTTCAGATAAAACAACGAGATTTGGTATGTTAGTATATGACATAAATTAGGATTGATTGACATATTCAATTGGTTTCGGTCGCTTCCGGTTTCACCGGAAATGACTGCAACTTTTGATTTTTAAATCGCACCCTCGGTATTTTTTTACTTTATTCGGTAGAAAATGACACTCTGAATAGAACGTCATATCACATGTCAACTTTTGACATTTTTGCATATGGTTTATTTGAAATTGTAACATGCGGTTCATAACCACAATTTGACTAGAAGTACCAAGTGTGTGGTATCAAATTATTCGTAAAAAAACCTTTTTCGAAATATGCTTCGAAAATGAAAAAAATTTCGAAAGAGCCACCCTCGTTCCATTTGAAAAAAATTGAGATATGATCAAAAATACGATTTGGGCATCGTTAACCGGCCAGGGCAAGACACTAAACACATTAGACGATCAACTCTATTTTTCCAAGGCTCCTTGATTAAAAATTAGTATTTTTAACACAGCCATGGCACTCTAGATTGAAATTTAAAATACAATTTGTTTTTAAGCGAATATGTCAAAAGTTGACATATGATATGATACGTCATTCTATTTAGAATGTCATTTTCTATCGAATAAAGTAAAAAAAAATACCGAGGGTGCCATTTAAAAATCAAAAATTGTAGTCATTTCCGGTGAAACAGGAAGCGACAGAAAACATTTGAATACGTCAATCAATCCTAATTTATGTCATATACTAACATACCAAATCTCATTTTTTTATCTAAAAAAATAAAAAGTAATAAGGGTGAGCCACTTTTGAGACGCACCCGGTATATACGGCGTCGTATAAATTTGCTACCTGCAATGTATGTAGAAAATTCGCTCGGCTTTTTATCGAGTATGTCACATCGGATTTCAATTTATTTCATTCTAGGATCGCTTGCGTTCGTCGCTTGGTACTCGTCACTTGCATCGCTCGTTCATAATCGAGCGATGTCGGTTATTTCAATAATCGAGTACTCGTGCGAATTTTCGCTCGAGTTATCCCATCACTAAATAATATTATTAAAAGGCCTTTATTTTTAACTGTGTGTGGTGAAAAGCAGCACAATGCTGTTTACTTAACTGAGCATTCAATTAATAAATTACAGTTTGTTGCAATACAATAAATGATGCAATGTATATGTTACGGTTAAGGTCCGAAATAAAGTTAATCTCAATATAAACCGGTTAATGGCATTACTAGCTTTAAACGGCAATAACCTGTTTAATTTAAATGGAACATCCTGTATATTTTTCATGAATCAAATGCACAATTTAATTGTCTATCAAATTATATTAAACCATTTGTTACCTATCTCTTCGTGTTTTCGTAGAAAATGCATTTTCTTATAATTTAGACCTCATTTATAAATATAACCATGGAATATTGACATTTATTTAGATTATTTTTAAAGATGTAACAAATTTTCAAAGAGTACCAAATATTAAAAAATAAAAAAAAACTGCTTAAATATTTGTAATTAATTAATATCATCCCAGTATTCATACTTTATTAATTGAGTGTTTGCGTTGATTAATAATAATTGCTTCAAATACTAAAAGAAACTGAATATTGTATGTGTATTAAACATTGTGGTAAAAAGTAACACCTCGAGTCAAATTGTCGTTATAAACCGCATGTTACAATTTCAAATAAATCATATGCGAAAATGTCAAAAGTTGACATATGATATGTCATTCTATTCAGAGTGTCATTTTTTATCGAATAAAGTAAAAAAATACCGAGGGTGCCATTTAAGAATCAGTAGTTGTAGAAACCGGAAGTGACCGAAAACAATTGAATATGTCAATCAATCCTAATTTATGTCATAAGCATACTAATATACCAAATCTCGTTGTTTTATCTGAAAAAATAAAAAAGTTATAGGGGCGAGCCACTTTTGAGATGCACCCGGTATATTCAGCAATTATAAGTTTTTTTATTACAATTGGGTGAAGAATTTCTGTCGTAAAATAATTTAGCTTTTTTTGTTCAATGAATAGAAAAAGTGGTCCGGCCTTATTGACATTTTTTCCCGAAACATTGTCGTCTACTATTGACTAGTAATTGGCCATTTGTAGTCTAAATTATTTAAGAAACAGAAATATATGCGAAAAGATCAGTTCTTAATCTATCGTTAGACAGTTTAGTTCATAACTCCGCAAGGCATCGATCCGCAGAAGCTATTCGAAATGAACAATTCGCTTTCTAGTAAGTACTTCAAAAAGTTTCAAATACATTTTTCCGTAAAATAAAATAGGGATCTTTTATATATCGTCGGTGAAACGTGATAAACTGCTAACTCGATTATTCCTAATTTTACAGGAGAGCAAAAAAATCGTACAAAAAATATGTACACATGTAGGAAGTATTTTCATGCGTTAATATGATAAAGAGATAAGAATTTTATTTGCTGGGGAACAATATAACTCAATATTTCTTGTTACATCATTTTTTTCAGACGCAATAGGGAGATAGCTGATCACTTGAGCGTCTTGCAGAAATAAGAAATAAAAATATACTTCTGGAGATAGCAACCTTTATTGTTTAAAATTTTGAAAATGGAATTGAATAGGTATTACCCAAACAGATTTAGAAATAATCAATTAAATTTAAAAAATATGATATTCATAACCATATATTTATAATATCGTCGGTCTAGAAGCAAAACATACAAGTTCAAAAACGAATAAATTTTTAATGCATTTTTAAAAATCTGAAATTGCAGCATTGTGGACTTTAATGGAATAAATAAAAAAAAATAATTTTTTTTGGAATAATTTAAAAATTAGACTTATAATTCTTAGAAGATATGGTAAAATCCTTCCATGCTTATCCTATTTTTTATACAATCGTAGTAGACCGAGCTTGGAAAACAGTGCGTGATTTTATTAATTTTTATTACTTTTCTCCTTATTTTTTTTAATTCTTATAAAAATTATGTATCATTTACGTGGAAAAACGTTGAAAAAAATAAAACTGATTAGATATTATGGAAATTCTTGTACAAGTAAGTAATGGTTATTTAAACTATTTATAGCACGCCGATGAATTGCTCGTATATAGATAATTTCGTTTTTCCCCTTATCCTTTATGGATACCCCGTATTTACAGAACGGATCGACGCAGAGTCGGACTGACCATATTATATATATATATAACTATTAGGGGGGCCCCAGCCTTCGCGGGCCCCCTTTATAGTTCATTATTTATTCTTAACAATATTTGCTTTTGCATTGCATTATAGTATTTGCATTACATTGGTTTACCTTGCATTAGGGTACTTCCCTGATTTCTATACAGGGTGAATCTTAAATAAGTGCAAATATTTTCAGGGCTAGTAAATCTCGATAAAAGAAACATAATATTTTCTCTTTACCGTTTTTTCAAATAAATCCAAAACAACCGAGTTATTTCATTTCTCAAATTTCCAATTTTTTGCTATAATTTTGAGAATCATTGGATTTTCTTTCTTGTAAATTTAATCTACTACCTATGGTGCCATATTACAAACAAAGTATGTTTTTAAATTAAAAATAAAAAAAAAATTCAATTTTTTTTAAAATTCCAAATTTTCAAAAAAAAAATTCGCGCAAAGAACCTCATAATCACTTTTCTTGGGCCGAAATATACTACCCCTAAAAATATTTGCATTTATTTAAAACTCACCCTGTATATAATAAGGAAATATTGACCAAAACGTAAGGCGAAAAAATACCCAAAAAAATCCACTCGGGCCTCTTCTTACATTGCCACCCGGGCCCCTTTGGCCTAGTGCGACCTTGGATCGACGTCCTGTACTAAAGAAACATACGAGTAAGAATCCGTTTGTTTGCTTTAGCGTGATCGTAACGGAAATTACGGAGATAGCAGCATTTCGGTGGCTATTTCAGATCACTGGGAGTTAGCAGATATTATTGAGTAAAAGTTGCAAATTTTCTTTAATGGGAAAAAATGTATTTGCTTTCCCTACTTATAGAGTATTTTTTTCTCTTTCTAATGGTATAAAAAAAACTTATTAACGTAAAAATGGAGTTAGCAGGTTATCACGTTTCACTGACGATACATCGTTTTTAAAATCTACATGATATCCTATGTTCAGGCCGGCGATGAAACAACACACGGAATATGTTTAATTTTATTGATTTATTTACAGCTGAAGCTGAGAATAGTAAGGCTGAAGAGTTACGAGAGCAAGTGACCAGGTTGGAGGGCTTGTTGTTGAAGAAAAGGAAACAAATCAAAACGTTGCGAACTGCCCTGAAACCGCATGAAAAAACTACGGCCAATTTGAAGAGAAAATCCGAGAACGCGAAGTTGAGGCACAAGCTTAAATTGTTGAAGAAGGACGCAGCAACCTTTTCTAGTAAGTGATATTAAATTGATTTTATCTTAAAAAAACTGAAAAATACAACGTATATTTGTAATATTTATTCTTCGTCTATTTTATACAGGGTGTTTCAAAAAACATGAAGCATCTCTCGTGGGGAGTAGTATATCAACATAGGTCTGATTCTGTTTTGTTTCGTAGCTACAGGGGTTTAAAGTCTGCATTTTTTTTCGATTTATTAGAGTTTTCTTTCAAATGCTTTTAGCAATTCTAATAATATTTTTTGGGGGTAAAAGATACTATAAGTGCGACATATTTTAATGCTAAAAAGTCCCAATAAATTTACCAGGGACGTGGGATATCACTGGAATATTTTTCTAAAAAAAACATGTACGCCACTGATTTTTTCTTTTGTTACTAAAATTATGCAGGGTTGTTCACCACATACGACACGGAGTATTGTGGCTAAACGATTAGGTTTTTACAAATTGTAAGTTTTGGGTTCGATGAAGGACTATTAGAGCTACAGTTTAAAATTTTACAAGATACAGTGTCCCAAAGAAGTAAAAAATATTAGTTGTATTTTTTTTAAATGGAATACCCTGTATATTATTCTATTTTTAAGGTAAATTTGATTAAGGTTTATCACACTTAAACCTTACCGTTTTTGAAATATTTTTAATTTTATGAAAGTGCAGTAAAAATTTTAAGGCTCCTTTTCTCCAAGGGTATCAAAGTTTTTAGTACTAACTATTTACTGAAGATTATTAATTGATCAGATATTGTGTTTCAATAATAAAAATTTTACTACTTTATACAGAGTGTCAAAAATTTATATTAAATAATTACTAGCTTTAAACGGCAATAAATTGTTTAATTTAAATGGAACACCCTGTATATTTTACGTGAATCAGACGCACAATTTAAATGTCTATCAAATTGTGTTAAACCATTTTTTACCTATATCTTCAAGTTTTCGTAGAAAATGCATTTTCTTATAATTTAGATCTCATATATCACTATACCAGTGGAATATTGACATTTCAGAATTTTTTAAAGCAACATATATGTACAAAATGTACAGGTGGTAAATTAATAATATTGCAAGCCAATTTGTATACAAAAAAAATATTTACATCTTTGTAAAAGAGTTTACCAATTAAATATACTGCCATTATTTCCGACCAAAAATTAGTTACTTAGATACTTAATTGTTAGTTACTTATTTACTTAATTGTTTCAATTAATAAGTTATTCTAAATAAATGTGGATTTGGCTCAGAAATTTATATAATAATAAGTTATGAAAATGAACGTCTCTGTTGATATAAGTAAGCATTCGTCAAAAATGAAATAAAATTTATAAGGTGTTACTTTTTACCACACTGTCTAATACACATACAAAATTCAGTTTTTTAGTATTTGCAGCAATTATTATTAATCAACGTAAACAGTCAATTAATGTAGTTTGAATGCAGGGATCATATTAATTGGTCATCTTTAACAAAAAAAAAATATTTAAACAGTTTTTTTTAATAAAATAAGCGAACTATATCGACAATATTAGTATTGTACTCTTGGAAAATTTGTTAAATGTTTAAAAACAATCTAAAATGTCAATATTTCATGGGTATAGTGATAAATGAGGTCTAAATTATAAAAAAATGCATTTTCTACAAAAACTTGAAGAGACAGGTAAAAAATGGTATAATACATTTTGATAGAGAATTAAATTGTGCATCTGATTCACGTAAAATATACAGGGTGTTCCATTAAATATTTAGTATAAAAAACTTTGGTATCCTTGGAGAAATGAAGCATTAAAATTTTTACTGCAATTTCATAAAATTGAAAATATTTCAAAAACGGTAAGGTTTAAGTGTGATAAACTAAATTAAAAAAAATTTATAAAATTAATAACCTTTATTTCAATTGTAGAATCTAAAAATAGAATAATATACAGGGTGTTCTATTTAAAAAAAATACAATTATAATATTTTTTACTTATTTGGGACACTCTTTATCTTGTAAAAATATTTTTAAATTGTAGCTCTAATAGTCCTTCAACGAACCCAAAACTTAAAATTTGTAAAAATCTAATCGTTTAGCTGCAATACTCCGTGTCGTATGTGGTGAACAACCCTGTATAGGCGGTTAAATGCCGATTAGAATTGTATCTTGATATTTTCTCGACTTCGATCTCCTTGATGAGATAACAAAAAATCTCTCGAAACTTTTTTAGCATTAAAATATGTGGCACTTATAGTAACTTTTAACTTCAAAATTTCATTCGAATTGCTAAAAGTAGTATGAAAATTATAATAAATCGAAAAAAAAAAGACTTTAACCCCCTGTAGCTACCAAACAAAGCAGAATCGGACCTATGTTGATATAAAAAATAAATCCGATTTTTATATGGAGAAATGATTTTTGCAACACATGTAGTAAAGACTTTACATATCACTCATATTAGCATATATAGTAGTCTTATACAGGGTCGCTTTTATGTATGGAAACGATTATTAGGTAAAATATTGGAGGCACCGCAAAAAGTTAATTACAAAAGTTATAGGATTTTTAAATAGGCTGTACTTAAACTGCCGTTAAACGGTAGCTTACTAAAATGCCGTTAATAGGTATGACGTCGTTGATGTGACGCACTTGACGGCTTTATGAAATACAGGAATTATATAAGGACTAACCAAAGCTATCCACCCCACCAAATAACCAACTTAACCAACGCAACTAACCTCGACACTGATAAAAAAATTTAAAAAACAAATATAAATTAGTAAAAACCAACCAACCCCACCAAATAAGCAACTAACCAATGAATTAACACCCTCCAAATAACCACGCTAACCAACCCGCCAAATAACTAAACCAATCCAACAAAAAAGAGTGAAACCAATGCAATAAGATAACGCTATAAGCAAAAAAAAATATAAAAAAGTGTTGGTCAGCGTGAGATTTGAACCCCGGACCATTCGCTCACGAACCGGTAGCCTCAGCCACGGAGCCACAGGTGCTCTTGCAATATGCTTATGGCTAGATATTACTTTCCGCCGACATGAACGACGTCACAATATCTATTAACGGCATTTTAGTAGGCTACCGTTTAACGGCTGTTTAAGTACATCCTTTTAAATATCTATTAGCGAGTAATAAATTTAAGTATACAGGGTCGTTCATAAAGTCGTGGCACATAAAAGTTTAATTTTTTTTTAAAATAGAAACCGCCTGTATATTATTACATATTTCAATTCTTAGGCCAGTAAACGAGGGTTTTAGGGTCCGAATTCTGAACACCTGCACCGATTGACGTGAAATTGTAATAGTCAATAGAGATATATGTAAGAAACAAAAGTTACATAGTAGCGATGTGTGCTTTCACCCTGGAAGTGAGTGCCACCCCTTCTCGGGGGTGAAAAATAAGTCAACCATTTTAATTACAAAAATTGATAAGAGATGAATTCTAAGCAAAAAATGTTCTATAACATTTTTTCAGAAAATTAATATTTCCCTAGTTATTTAAGATTGAAAATTGATTGATTTTTCATCTAAAAACTGCATATTTTTTGCTAATTTTTATAAATAACTCGAAAACCTTTCGTTTTATCACAAAACTCATATAAGGCAAAATGAAGCTGTTGGATTAGCTAAACGATCCATTTTTTGTTGATTACCGTAGGTGTAGTAATAGCCGAGTTATCATTATGTAAACGTGATTTTTTATTTTTCGGAAACTAAATTGCAACATTTTACCGTAAAATAATGACGAAAGAACACATTTTTCGAAGAAAATTAATATGACCGTGTTTAAAGTGCTTGAAAAGACCTTTTAAATGCTTTCTTAAAAAAGTTCGTAGCTTAAAAACTCGCGGAGTTATGATAAAAATAATATGGTCACCTCATTATTTCGGAAAAAAATTAACAACAAAATCTATGACTAAAATCATAAAAATAAAAACTAAGCGTAATATATGTACATTTGGCTATATTTAGGTACTAGCAATTGACTCTGCAAGTTCGAGTGGTTTAGAATGCCTAAATTTGGAAAAAAATTGAAAATAATGAAAAAAAAAATTTTTTGTTTTTTAAAAAATTATAATTTTTTTGACATCTCAAAAACTAAGCAAGATACGTAAAAAATGCAACAGAGGAAAATTGAAGGTCTTTTTTGCAATATTTTTGCTCCATTCTAATTTTTTTGTAGATCTCTTTATTTCGTAGATATTACGTTTTTTTAGTTTGATTTGCATGTAAGGACCACCTTCTTTGAGCCCTTAAAACCCAAAAATCTCGTGAAAATGAAGAGTTCAAGACTGTTCAACTATAGAGGTTAATTTGTAGACCGTATAATTTCTTACAAATTGATAATTTTTATTTTTATGATTTTAGTCATAGATTTTGTTGTTAATTTTTTTCCGAAAAAATGAGGTGACCATTTTATTTTCATCATAACTCCGCGAGTTTTTGAGCTACGAACTTGAAAAGACCTTTAAAAAAACATTTAAAAGGTCTTTTTAAGCACTTTAAAAACCGCCATATTCATTTTCTTCGAAAAATGTGTTCTTTCGCCATTATTTTACGGTAAAAGGTTGCAATTTAGTTTTCGAAAAATAAAGAATCAAGTTTACAGAGTGATAACTCGGCTATTACTACACCTATGGTAAACAACAAAAAATGAATCGATTCGTTATTCCAAAGACTTCATTTTTGCTTTATATGAGTTTTGCGATAGAACGCAAGATTTTCGAGTTATTTATAAAAAATTGCAGAAAAATATGCAGTTTTTAGATGAAAAACCAACATTTTCAATCCTAAATAACTCGGAAAATATTAATTTTCTGAAAAAACGTTATAGAACATTTTTTGCTTAGAATTCACCTCTTTATTGATTTTTGTAATTAAAATGGGTGACCTATTTTTCACCCCCGAGAAGGGGTGGCACTCATACCCAGGGTGAAAGCACACATCGCTACTATGTAACTTTTGTTTCTTACATATCGTCGGCTTTATGACGAAAATGCGTAT